ATCACTGGCAGAAGGAAACAAAGAGAGCACTAGGCGTATTCACAGCTCTTAGGGTAGATTTATGCCCCACTTTTGTGCTCCTACAGTTGCTGCTTAGTTTGTGCAACATTTGATACTTGGATACTTCTCCAGTTTCTTTCTAGCAATCTAAAGTTATTTGAAAGTAATTTTTCCCTTGGATCTGGGAAGATGGCCCATTCCATAAAGTGCTTGCACACAAGCATGGAACCCTGAGTTTGGATCCCCAGCACCACAGAGAAGCTGGGGCAGTGGCAGGCATCCCACCCCTAGGAAGATTTGACTGGGAGACAGTCAGGTCTCATTGGCCAGTCAGCCTAACCAAACTGATGAGCTCCAGGCTCATCATCCTAAAAAGGAACATAGGAACTGACTGAGGAAGACCCCCTGTGTCAACCTCTGGCCTCCATGCATGTACAGCGTGCACAGCGATGCACACGCCTACACACAATATGGACACATACATTTTTCTTAAAGTATTGGTTTATTCTGTATTCCCTTACCACGTTTTTGAAAACGCCACCAAAGAGATAAATATCCAATCCCCACTTAGCACATTTTGAACAGCTCCTATGACTTGCCAAATATAGTTATTCGCCCTAAGAATATGCTAATGACAAAACTGATAATAAAAAAAAACAAACCTGCACCCATAGAGTTTGCATTTCACCAGAGGGGACTGAAAAATAAATATTTGTCTAGTAGTAGGTCATGGAGCTGCAAAGGAAAAAATGTAGATCAGAGGTGAATAGCAAGAGTGTAGAAGAGGTGTTGACATTTTAGATGTGATGACAGCAATAATAGTCAAATGTCTTGTTGAGAAAGGGACAGCTTAGGAGAGCTAAAGACATGAAGAATATGCTGTGCAGGCATCTAGATAAAATGCCTTCATAGGTTTTGTTTTACCTGAAATTAGTAGTGAAAGTCCCGAAGAAGCTGTGTGCTTGTAGTGTTTGGGGAATGGTGAGGCTGGTGAGGTGGGCAGTGAAGCCCAGCAGATGGGATAAAGGAGGCACAGTGGGGCACAGTCTGGTACGTGAAACAGGCATTCAGCCTGGACATCATACTGTAAGTGTGGACAGTCTGTAATGGATTCAAGTTACATAAACCCCCAATGGAGGAAGAATAAAGGCGAGATTCCTGTTCTGTGAACTCTGTGAATGCCTGTGAGCTCTAGGGTACCCTTACATGTAAAAGCTAGAGATTTGAGAAGCAATCAGTCAAAGAAACAGACACGATAACGTTCTTTCTTTAGAATTAAATCCTGTTTTAGCATGTGAAATCCTTCATATCCTGACCAATGTGTGGCTTTAAAATATATCTCATACTTTTTTTCTTTTTTATTCTCTTTTCTCCTCCAGAGAATGAACCCAAGGCCTTACACATGCTGAGTATTTGAGTTACATGCTAGTCTTCTGTCTTTGAGACACTCCTTTGTTTAAAATTTTAAGATTCAGCTTAGCTCTAACTTCCTCAAAAGTATGCCTGATGGTTTAGTTCCCTCTTCTGCATCCCTTACCCCATTCCCCACATAAACCAAGCGTCACACAGCCCTCGTTGCCTTGCTCTCATTGTTGCATGAAACACTTGCTTGCTTTCCTTTGGGTCTAAATCACTTATTTATATATCTCCGCAGCAGGGTACTGTACAGTCCTTGGGGTTCTCTGTTTTATTCATTGTTTAATATCTCATGCAAATTCTTGATACTTGGTCGGAACTTTAAATAATATTTATACAGTAAATTTCAAAACCAATACCAATAAACTAGCCAAAGTAGAGAAGCTTATATAGGCTCAGCCTTGGCAACTGTGTTTAAATTTGGAGTGCAGGGCTGGGGTTTGTGAGGAGATGGTGTGCTCAGAGGAAGGGAGGAACATGCCAGGGGCCAGGGACTCACCAGTATTCTCTAGTAGCAGGACTTTCTAGGCACAATGGCCTGAGTAATTGCTTTTTCTGTCCTTTTTATTGAAAAGCTGTCTGGCAGACGAAGTGTTTTACCAAGTGGTAGAAGCAAGTACAGTCGGGTTCATTATTTGAAAATTTCTTTGTATAACATTTTTGGAATAGATGATTTCCTTGTCATTTTTTTAAACAAATTACTCCAGCCTGTCTGTTGGAATGCCTCAACCTCCATAGGGATATGAATAAGGGAGAAATTTCAAAAGATTTCCATCCTGGGTACTAGCCTTCCCGTGAGTCAGAGAATCGTTACTAAACATCCCAGAAGCATGGCTTGCCAGTTGGAGGGTGGAGATGGACTGAAAATCCAAAAGATTTTAAGGAATTTAAGGAGAAGAATCTAAAAATGGTGTTAATAGGAATAAGGTTTCTTTGTTTATGAGCATATTAAATGAACATACGAGAATTAAGTCACATTTTAAAATATTTTGTAAATTTTGCTCCAAATTAAAATGCTTTTTCTTTGGCATAACCATAAATATTTACAAGGTGAGGCAAATCTGCCCTGTTTTTTTTTTCAGTGGGTATAGCTGAACTACGGGTCAAATGGCAAGGAACACTGATAGGCACAGTCAAGTGAGAGTGTCCAAGGAAAAAAAGCTCTGACGTCTTTTATCCTGATTATCTTCTGTGTAGTAGCTTTGACGTCTTTTATCCTGATTATCTTCTGTGTAGTAGTCTTCATTTTAAAAGTGTTTTAAGATCCAACTAAAGTTCACTTTAGAAATATATTTTCACTTTCTCAAATGAAGCCTTAGGCATGTGTTTCTAATAATTCACTGAAAATATGCTGAATTGTATATTTTTAAAGAGAATCTGTTTTGAAAAAAATCCAAAATATTTGTTTGAACAGGCACTCAACATCTCGATGAAAACGGTTGGAAAAGAAAAGCTTTCAAAGTCATTCTGTTCTCAGAGTCCCCGGGCCAACTAAACTGGTACAGTTAACACTTCAGCCTGAGGCAGGAGCCAAGATCTAGGACTTCCCGGACTGCTTTTCAGCAGACCTTCAGACCAACCTAGTGGTTGATATTAATGCCATTGAATTCCAGAGCAAATAGCCACAAGAAGAATGTCTATAACTCTATCAATATTAGGCCTTTTAGTAGTTTTCTGCCTTAAATTAGCATTCTTGAATTTTGTGGGGCATTGATCCTTCAGGACTGTCCAGTAGCATGTGAGCTTCCTAATGTAGTATCCTATTCCGTGTGTGTGTGTGTGTGTGTGTGTGTGTGTGTGTGTGTGTGTGTATGTGTGTATGTGTGTATGTGTGTATGTGTGTATGTGTCTGTCGGAGGCCAGAGAGCAATGCTGAAATGTCTTTCTTCATTGCACTCCACCTTATATTTTGAGACAGGATTTCTTGTTGAACCTGGAGCTCGTCAATCTGCCTAGATTGGCTAGCCAATGAGCTCCAGTAACTCACTTGTTTCTACTGCCTTCCCAGAACTGGGGTTAAAGACATGTGCCTCTGTGCTTGTCTGTGAATGCTGGAGTTCTAAATTCAGTTCCTCGCGCTTGTGGAGCAAGCACATTACTACCTGAACCATTGTCCTCGCCCCCAGAAATCAATATTTTTAATTGCTTTTAAGCGTCACTGTCACAGTGGAAATAGAAATAATATATCACATCATAACACTTTAGAGAGATCGGTGGTTATATTAGGCTGCCAAATATATCACTAGTGATTGGTAAGTTACTGGCCCATTATTTTCACTATATTCCCTTAATATTTACTGATAACATTTAATGCATTTGCCAATATGTTTGAAATATAATACGTCATGTTGCTTTCTCTACCCACATATTTGCTTTGTAAGTGCTCTAGATACTAGTCATTAAATTGGCTAGTTGATACCTACTATATTTGGATGTTGTCATGGAGACTAAATAGCAAGTGACTCAAAGGTTCTGTATGTCAGTTAGAAAGAGAAGACTAAACTCAACACCCACCATTTCTCAGGTATCACAGAGCTTATTAGAAAATAGCAGAACCAAAATGTCATCCTCTTGGATGTTCAGTCGCACCACACGAGATTAGATAGCAGTATCTCCAAAGCCGGTTGCCAACCTTAATGCAGTCTAAGCTTCTTTCAGAACTGTGAGTGGAAAGGAGCTGTGGGAAACTGTAATTAGTCTCTTGGGGGGTCTATTTTGGTTTTCCATTCTTTTCACCACTGTATAATGTGAGAGGGTAACATCAACAATTTGGGCCACGTTTTCTGAGACTTGGCAGAGGAGTGCAGTGCTCCATGCAATTCAACCTTGTCTTTTTCTCTTTGCCCTTTTTTATTGTGGAGCGCTTAGAAAGCAAAAGGGGAAGTTTCAGAGACTCTGAAGGGGCTGACTGGAGATGGTGACTGAAAGCTACAATCTGTGGTCCATCAGGACATAGTCAGGGAGGAAACAAACAAAATGATAGGATGTTCGAGTGTTACCATGATCCAAGAGAAGTAAGGAAGGCAAGAGCTCTGCAGCACTGTGATGTTCCATTTGATCCACTTTATATGTTCACACAAAGAGAGTGGCTGAGATCACTGGTCATTAGGACATGAGCTGCGAAACAGGAATTTTGTCAAAGGAAGTAACTTTGGCTAACAGAGGAAGGAGTGAGATGTTTTTGTCTCTAACTTTTCTAATTTAGTCCCATACTATTTTAAAAGACTAATCAAAACTGTTTCTATCTAACTTACATTGTTAGGAGTCCAACAGCTGATACATTTTGTTTTTCTTTGCTATATTTTTCTTTAATGACTTTGTTAAGCTTTTGCTATCTCTTCTCTGTTATTAAATCCCGTAAGATTCAAGTGTGTTTAAAGTAAAAGTATTATGAGACAAGAGCTAAATTTGTGGGTAGGATAATACTTCTTTTGTGACTTCTTTTCCCACCAAAAGTGAGAAGTGAATGCCTTGACTTTGTGCATCCCATTTCAAGTGGAGGACAAGAAGTTATTCTCTGCAATGGCTGACTTCCAGAATTTTTGCCTGAACATTTTTTGTCAAGTATATATTCCCTTCTTTAGGCCTTTCTATATAGAGCCTACACACATCGTCAATGTGAATGATGCCATTCAGAGAGTTAGTGACCATGCCTCTGCTTTGAACAAGAGGATTCATTACTACAGCCGGCTCACCACTCCTGCAGACAAGGCACTGGTAAGAGGCAAAGCTCTGCTGCTCGTCTAGAGTTGAGATGAAATGAACAGTAAACACCAAAACCCAGAGCAACTCCCAGGGGTTGAACCTTTCACTTAGCGTCATGCAAAGTCAAAGTAGTGGTAGTTAATACATGTTTCATGCTTGTTCATTCTTATCTACCTGCATAGAGAAAATGGAAACTCTCTGTTGACAGTAGCTTGGAGCTTTTTTCTTTCTTTCTTTTAATTTTTGCTTATCTCAGATAACAAGCTCTGAGAAAGACATTTCTTTTGAAACTGCAGCTTAAATACTGACTAAAAACAGTAGTCTGGCTAGTTGTTTAATTGTTAAGTTTAAAGCTACAAGGGAAAAATACTTTCATACATTTTCTAAAGGAGTAAGAAACAAATATTTTTATGCATATACTGATAGTTTCCTGTTTAGCATTGCTCTTTTATAAATAAAAAATAACCTATGCAGATGAGTTTATTGTTTTGTCTTATAAACATTAAAAACAATTGTTAAAAAAAAAAAGGGCTGCAAATACAATAAAGGCATTATGGGTCATAGCTTATGGATTCATGATTGGCTGAATTCTGTCTTATTTTAGAATTTTAAAATGTGTAAGTAATCTGTTTCTTAACAGTGATCAGATGTGAGATACTTGGAAATTTTGAAGCTTAAAAATATGGTTAAAATGGGTCTCAGTCACAAGAAGGAAGAAAGGAACTAACCTCTGACCCTCTCTAGTGGGTACCACTTGACTATGGTCGTCTCATGTAGCCTCTATGTGCAGTTAAGCATTCGGACCTCTTTGTCTTTGCTTGTTTGGATAGCATCTCATGAAGGCCAGGCTGACTTCAGGAGAGTGTCTGAGCTTTCTGCCTTCTCTCCTTGGCTAACAGCACATACCTGGCTCTAAGGTATCAAGAAAAGACTTCTGAAATGCTATGTGTAGGATAAATTTTGGCAGTTTTTATTTTTTTTTTAACCCACCTCCCACCCCCAGGCCTTTACATTAGTAGTGATGTTGAAGTCTGTTATAGAATTATGTAAAACTTTGGGGCATTTGATGTTCTGGTCGGATTAAGACTCTCAAAAGGCTATAGAAGCAGGCTCCAGAGACATCACCTAGAGCTGGGTGAGCACCACTGCCTGGAAACCAAGTCAACACTGAGCTATAACCCTCTGTTAACTGACCGAGATAGATGACTAGTACAGCTAACCAGTCGGCAAGGTTGTGATCTGTTTCTAATAAATTTGTATAAAAACCCACACCATATTTTTTAAATCGCAAAATCATTTCCCTTGAAAGTATGTTTTGGAGAAGAACAATAAGCCACTGTTACCGAATGTTCATAGATAAAACCCTTTTATTTATGAAAGAAATCCCATTGTTGTTATTCTGGGCTGGAAAGGGGGAAAGGTTGTCTATCTGCTCTGTGCATGTGTGCCTACAGAGCAGCCTTGTCAGTGTCACTTAGTGAAAAGGCATTGTGCAGGGCTTAGTCAGAACCAGTGAGGCATAGTCTGTATGTCAGCAAGAGCCTGTGTGTCTTGGGAACGTTCAGATGCAAATGCTGCGTACACCATGGCCATAGTGGGACGCAGCCTTTTCCATGCCTCCTAAGAGCCTGCTGCTCTCCCCACCCCATCCTCCACGTCTCCCATACGTGGTCCAGACCCAGAGACTAAGCTCAGGGTCAGATGAGGTGTACATGGAATGAGGGGTTTTTTTTTTTTGCTTGTAGAGGTTTAGTGTGTGTGTGTGTGTGTGTGTGTGTGTGTGTGTCAGTGAGAGAACACAACCAGAGTTTTTCACCTATTATTGAACCATGGTCCTTTTATTTTGCTTTTACTTGATTTTTTTTGCCCCCAGTTTGTTTTGTCAGCTACAGTGTTCTTCCTTCTTGATATGCCATAATCTTGTACTTTTTTAAAATTCATGGAAGAAGACAAGAAAATCTATATCTTAGAGGACTATAGGTGAAGAGAAGGAAAAGAACAATTTTCATATTTTTTTTTAATCTGTGTCTCTAGGAAGTAGCTGTTTCTGAAGCCACATCATGCATAGCATCCAGGATAGTCTTTCCTACAAAGATACCACTAATCTTTGCACTAAAAAAGAAGGAGGTGACATTTTTGTACTAATAACTGATGCCCTGTCTTCTTATTAAGGCCTGACACTCCATCTCTTCTTCAAAGTCTTCCCTGGATTTTTTGGTTCTCATTGTTTACCCAGTGAGATGGTACAGCATGGAGTTGAACACTTAATTTTATTATGCCTTCCAGTCTTGTCTAATCACTTCACGTGTTCAACTTTTGAGTCTGTTACTTTACTCTCAAATAAGAAATATAGCACAAAGTTGTAGGTGTTAAATATTAAAAGATTGTTGGTTCACACTAGTCAGATTCTGTACCTTTAAAGGATTTTTTTTTCTCCAAGAACATCCCTCAGAGATGGACAGACTATCATCAGGAAACAGGATGTTTTTTTCCTGTCCAAAATGGAGAGTTAGAAGGAATGTTTTTTTCCTCTCCAAAATGGTGGAGTTAGGAAGAAACATAGAAGGTAGTGTGATACATTGATGTATAAGGTACCTCTCTTCAGTTATGCTTGCTCTATCTGATACTTCTGTGGCCTCCTTCCCTTTTCTTTATATACTTGTATGACTTCTCCTACAGTCCGTGGTTTATCATTCATTAAAGTACTTTGTTACCTATATCTTTTACCTAAAGCATTTAAAAATTAGTCCATGTACTATGTCTTTACGTACTGTCCATTGGCTCCTCAATTCTTTAGTCTGAGACTGCTATCTGTTTCTTACAAAATCAACTTCACTTCAGAGTTAAGTAAACACCACTTAGTTCTTGAAAAGCTCCTCAGTTGAGGACAGGCTCCTCCTTGGAGTTTTTTAAATTTCATTCTTTGCTTGCTTCTTTCTCATTAATGTGAAAAGCACTTTGATGATAGGAATAAATTCTCTCCTTTATATCTACCACTATATTTGAGAAAAAAAATAATCTTTAATTCCTTAATTGGGGGTACATAATGTTAAAAACATTTATGATATTTAGAAATATATCTAAAAATGTGTCTTAAAGATATACATGCTGGTGGGCTTTTACAATCTCAGCACTCAAACAGCAGATGCAGGAGGATCACACATTTGAGACAGCAAGGGAGGGCAAAAGCCCAGATGTGCAATAGTGAAGTGTCTCACTGGCAGCTGTCACCAAAGGAGCCCACCAACCAGAGTCCCCCAACAGTTTCAGCTCGATATAAATCTGAGAAGTATGTCTAGTCAGTTTCTTTGAACAATAGGAAGCACTCTTTTCGTATGGTCACTGGTTCTGATGCTTCTCTTTTCTTGTCCCCAAGATCGCTCCAGACCACGTGGTCCCTGCTCCAGAGGAGTGCTATGTGTACAGCCCATTGGGCTCTGCCTATAAGCTTCAGAGTTACACTGAAGGCCACGGTAAAAACACCAGCTTAGTAACTATGTGAGTAAGCTACTTCTTGGAGCATGAATTAAACTGTACATGAATGAAAATAACTGGTTATTTAGTTCTGTCTTAATTAAAATGCTTGAGGAGCCCAACTTCATATTGTCCCTGCTATTACTCTTTCAGTTTTATGATTTGGAATACCATGATGGGAACATCTATACTAAGTATTCCCTGGGGCATAAAACAGGTAATAGAATCTTTGAGTACACTTTTATCTGAGAAATTCTTAAGATTTATTATTTTTCATTTCTAATTATGTGCGTGTATGAGTCTGAGTTGTGGGTATGTGCATATAAGTAACCTGTGCCGCGGAGGTCACAGAGGTGTTGGATCCTCCTGGAGTCACGGTTACAGGCAGTTGTGAGCCACCCAGCGTGGGTGCCATGAACCAGGCCTCAGTGCTCCGAAACACCGCTCTGCCTTCGGAACTGCTGAGCCATCTCTCCAACCCCTGACATTTTGTCTAGACCTATAATCCTGACACTGAGGCAACAGGATCATGAATTCAAGACAAGACCAGTTTGGGCTACATAGTAAATTTTAAGCCAGGTTGTGTATATCCCATACATCTCCAAAATAGAAAAATATCTTTAAAAAGAAGGTGGTGATTTTTTTTTTCAGTTATGTTTTTATCATAATTGTTTAGGGTAACAATGTACTTGCATATGAAGCTATTCTTACATAATGAAAGGAATCAAATTTTTCTTTTAAAAAGGCTGGATTTACTACTGGGATGTGTGTCATCATGCTGATGGGCCTCTTAACACTTTATTGCTGCTACAGAGTGGTGAAATCACGGAGTATGATAAGTAAGTAAGAACAGATTGTCACGGGAACTAGTAAACTTCCCTATTGAGACGGCTCCTACTGTGCATATTCTATACATGTGTCAGCTGGCTCCTTCTACTTTTTTGTATTTTTTTATTTTATTTTTATTAATTGCAGTTTATTCACTTTGTATCCCCCTAACTTTTTTTTTTTTAATGTGTCTCATGTGCTACAGTGCACACATGGAGGTTAAAGACCAGCTTGAAGGTGTCAGTTTTCTTCTTCTAACATGAGGTTCTCTGATATTGAACTCAGGTTAGGGTGGGTGGCAGCTAACCTGAGCCATTAAACTGGCCCCAGCTGTCTACTTTCACATAAAACTTTACTCTTGTAATTCATAGCTTTTAGCCGACCAGTCTGGCTCCCTCCGAAATTCACAGCTGAGTGTTCTTTGGAGAATTCATTTCTATTAGTGTGGGTGTCCTTATGAGATAATAAAATATCACTTACAAAATGGCTGCATCTTATGAACTTATATGCATGAGTGCATGTGGGTATTGGGAGACTGCTTGAGGGAGGTAGTTCTCTCTCCTTCTACCATTGGAGTCCTAAAGATTGAACTCTGGTTCCCAAGCTTGATGGCAAGTGCCCCTCCCTCTCCTTGGCCCCAAAAAGTTATATTTTAAAAATAAAGCCTTTATCAGAACTGTTGAGAATTCTATGATTTTTACCAATTATAGTTTACTTGTTTTGACCTAAACATCACAGGCCTAAAAGTATAAAAGTACCAATGGAAAAATATGGAAGTAGCCAGGTGCCGTGGCATATGCCTCACCTGTAAGCCCAGTGCTCAGGGAGGCAGAAGCAAGTAGATTTCTGCAAATTTGAGGCTAGCCTGGTCTACAAAGTGAGTCCAGGACAGGCAAGGCTACACAGAGAAACTCTGTCTTGGAAAAGAAAGAAAGGAAGGAAGGAAAGAAAGAAGAGAAAGAGAGAGAGAGAGAAAGAAAAAAGAAAGAAAGCAAAAGAAGGAAGGAAGGTGTAAGCAATTCTTAAAGTATAAACACAATATCTCTACTTATCTGTGTAAATTCTTGATCAGGGAATCAAAAAGGTAATCTTTTGGGGTTTTATGTTTTGTTTTGTTTTGTTTTTGAGATAGTGTTTCTCTGTGTATCTTTGGCTGTTCTGGACTTGCTTTGTAGATGAGGCTGGCCTCGAACTCACCAAGCTCTGCCTACTTCTGCCTCCCAAGTATTAGGATTAAAGGTGTAATCTTGTTGTTGTTTTTAAAGCTTGAACTTGGGTCTTTTGGGATTGCTAGGATTGGTTCCAATTTTATGAATAGAAATAATCTGTGCCCCAACTCACACTTTTATTCTCCCAAGCAGCTGGGACTATTATATTATGTGCTACTATACAAAAACATCCTTTTAGGTCAGTTTTACATATCAAACTGAGTATGGTGGTATATGCCCATAATCTCAGAATTTAGACGTTAGAAACAGGAGAACCAGGAGTTCAATGTTCGCATCTACATAAAGAGTTCAAGGCTAGCATAGGCGATGTGAGAGTCTGTCTCAAAAAAAAAAAGCAAATGTGTGTGTGTGTGCGCGCTCTTTTAGGGCCTAGAGAGACATGTATTTTCTCTTTAGTCTTATTATTAGCAAGTCCAAACCAACCTTTAGTTGTTTCTGTCTTAACTAAGCAGTCTCTTTCTTCAGCTAAACCTAGTCTCAGTCACTTGGGGAGTATTGTTTAAGATCTTGGGAGAAGTCTTGTTTAAAAGCCATTTCAAGTTCCTGTTTGAGTTTGTTTAGCCTTTGGTTTCTGTAGTTGTGGTCCTGCCTGAAAAGGGAAGAGTTCTTCATACAAATACAGTAAGCACTGATCTTACCTCAGGCTGTCTTGGACAGGGGAAACATGGCCCCCTCTTTGATCACTTTGACTGTTGCAGAGCAGGTAATGCCTGCATTTCTTAAACTCTTGCATTTAAAAGGATGAGCTTGCATCGGTTCATTTTACAAAGTTAGCACAACCCTAATGCAAAGCCTGACAGGACAAAAAAGAAAGAAAAAGAAACAGTAACAAACATTATTTGATAGAATCAGTGATGTCTAAAAATAATACCTTGTGTTTAAAGTAGAATTGTTAAGATTGTTAAAAATGTGTTTATTCTAGTGAGGTGAGAAGGATGCTGTGTTATTAAGAACATAATTCACTACATTAGCAAAATAAAGGTAAAATCCATGGTTTACATCAATTGATAACCACCCCTAAAAGGCATTTGATGGAGTTCAGCATCCTTTACCTTAGTAAAGCTCTAAGGAAAACACTACTTAAATAAATTAAAGTCTCTTTATCCCTAGACCAGGACCAGCAACATTCTACAGTTATAAAATGCTTAAAGCCATTTCCATTTAAGTAAATAAAAAACAACAACATAGGAAATGCTCATAGTTACTCCTAGGTTTTTGAGATATAATCAAGTACAGCAAGTTTACTGACTAGTACTATTAGAATTAATGAGATTCTGAAAGTTAACTGCATATGAAATCAAGAATCAACAACTAGAACTACAGTGCAGTGAACATTAGTCCATTCATCACAGCAGTAAATTCTAAGGCACTTAGATAAAATTTAACAAGAGAACACATTTGATGGGACAAAAATACAACCTACCTAAACTCAAAGAACAAACTCTGTGCAAGTTAAGAAAAACATGCCATGTGGTTTGGAAGATTCATTATTGTGAACCACAAAAAAAAAAAAAAAAAAAAACCCACATGTATAAATTCAGTCTCATTTCAAATAGAGCCAGGAAAATTGGGGGTGGGGTGGGGAATAGTATGGAAGAAATCAGAGTTACCAGGTATTAAAACATACTCAGAGGTCAGTGTAATAAGGCAGAAAGCTACTATCTTAGAATGGGAAGAAAATAGGATAGAGGGCTGGAGAGATGGCTAAGTGGTTAGAAGAGAACACAGGTTTCATTCCGAGCTCCTGCATGGCATCGTACATGTCCAGTTCTTGGGGATTCGGGTGAAACATCCATACAGGTGGGATAAAATATTTTAGTCTTTAGCCAGGCAGTGGTAGTGCACACCTTTAGTCCCAGCACTTGGGAGGCAGGGCCAGTCAGATCTCTGTGAGCTTGAGGCCATCCCGGTCTGTAGAGTGAGTTCCAGGACAGCCAGGGCTGTTAGACAGAGAAACCCTGTCTTGAAAACACAAACAAAAAAATTAATCTCTATAAAAATTAGACTGGACTTTGGGCAGAGTGCAGGTAATCTTATGAAAGAAGGGGGAGATAGAAAGACCTGGAGGGGACATGAGCTCTAAAAGGAGACCAACAGAGCCAATAAACCTGAGCCCTGGGGCCCCTGCAGAGACTGATAAACCAACCAAGGTACAGGCTCAAATGTCGCCCAGCTCAGTCTCCAAGTGGGTTCCCTAATAAGGGGAGCAAGGGCTTTCTCTGGCATGAACTCAGTGACAGGCTCTCTGATCACCCCCACCTGGGGTGTGAGGTGCAGCCTTGCCAGGCCACTGAGGAAGACAAAGCAGCCAGTCCTGATGAGACCTCATAGGCTAGGCTCAAGTAGAAGGGGAGGAGGACCTTACCCATCAGTGGGACTAGGGGAGGAAGAAGAGGGAGGGAGGGTGGGATTGGGAGGAGATGAGGGAGGGGGACACAGCCAGGATACAAATTGAATAAATTGTAATAAATGATAATAATAAAAAAGAAAAAAAATTGGACTGGAAAAGGAAACACAAATTTCAGGTTTATGAGTTTAATGCCATATTTGATGTCTGTTAAACTGTATCAGTTGAGGGGGGAAATCCCTGTATGACACCTTACACAAAAATATATTCCAGATGGCATTCAGACTGAAATGTGAAAAATAAAGCCATAAACATATTAGAAGAAGCCAAATGTTGGCACATGTCTTTAATCCTGGCACTCGGGAGGCAGAGGCAGAGGCAGGCAAATCTCTGAGTTTGAGACCAACCTGGTCTACAGAGTGAGTTCCAATACAGCCAGGGCTCTACATAGAAACCCTGTCTGAGAAGAGAGAGATTAGTAAAAAATTTAGGGGGATGTGCATATAAACTAGCAATTAAAAATATCCTGATCAATACAGAAGATATAAAAACTTGAAGAGAAATATCTCACAAAATTACAGATCATTACCGGAAATCATCCTGGCAAGATAGAGGACATTTGAAAGAACCACGTGCCTTCAAGATGGAGTCCCTGCTCCACACTCAGTGTATTCTATAGAGAAGACAAATTCATGAATATCATGTATAAAAGTTATAGTGAAACTCTCCACCCAAACGTTAATGATGTAATTGCTGATCAAGGAGGTGGTTACCTCACTCATGAAGAACTTGTTATCTGTATTCTTCAGTGCCCAGTCTTAATTGAACATTTATAGGCTAAAATGTTTTTCTTCCTTGTGGTTATTTTTATTCTAGACGCCCCAACCTCTGTAAGAATGCCATTGAAGTAGAACCATAAGAACACATACATTGGATAAGATTTGCGGGCTAGGCCAGTACTTCATTCTACTTATAAACCACCATATACTACACACACGCACACGGACAGACACACAGTCACATTGTAGACTGCTTTTCTCCCCCCCCCCCCCCCCCCCCCAGGAAACAAGATGAATAAGTAACTATAACTTGATGGCAGTTAAGATAATTTTATGTTATACCTACCTGCGTTCTTATTCCTTACTGAAGTTACTAAGTAAATAAATTACTATTACAGTAACCCAACCATAGAAAAGCAAATATCTTTGTGTTCTTATACTAATGTCTTTGTGTTCTTTTTATATGAATTCTTATCATTTAGAAATATTTTATTACAATTCATTGCCTTTTTAAGCAAAATGGGTGCAGTCACCATTATTATCATTGTTTGTTTAATTTAACTAATTAGTTGAATGACTGTGTATTGCACGTTGTGACTTGTACTTGATTAGTGATTGTGTACTGTTGCACGTTTACGTCCTCGTAAGCTCTTTATATCTTAAGTAATACCCCTCGAAAAATAATTTACACATATTTTGTATACTCTTTTGAATTGCTTTCTTTAAATTTTGACCCCTATGGGGGGGAAATTGTGTGCGGCCATACAGCTCAGTGGCAGAGCACATGCTTAGCCTGTGCTAGGCTATATTGGTTCAATCCCCAACTCAAAAAAGAAAAGACAATTGCTAAATTTAAATTTATTTCTAAAAGCTGTCCTAATTTCTAGCGGTATCAGCTGTACATTAATGATGGGCTGCTATGAAGCCTGCCGTTATTTTGTGTTCCCAATTGTGTTATGTTATGTTCTGTTTTCTTACGCTTGCAAAGCAGTCTGGTTTTCTTTAATTGAATTGTTGGCTTGTATTCTTTCCTCAGTTACCCACAAGCTCCTTGGTGCTTTTATATCATAGTTTTACTAAGTACTCTATATGATATTGCACTTAGGTTTTATCTATAATTTCTTGTGACTTTCTTTCTCTCTCAACATTTTCAGTGGCTTTTGTAAGATTTTCTCTTCTCTGTTGCAAGTTCTGTCTCTTCATTTCATAAAAAGGATAACCTTTCAGAGTTGAATTCTATATTATTTTATAACTTTGTTAAACTTCTGTTGTTGTTTGTCTTGCTCTGTTGATGTTCTTCAGGCGGTTTACAAACTCACTGTGTAAGCCAGCCTGCCCTTGAGTTTGCATATTCCTGCCTCAGTACCCTGAAGTCTGGAATTACAAATGTGCATTTCCATGCCCGGCTTTACTTTTACATCCTTAACTTAGTTATCTAAAGTGTAAGTTGGCCTGTAGCATAAAATATGACTCAAGACAGCTTGAAGCATGAAAGCATGTTGTTAAATAGTGTTTAACAGTTAGTGCTGATTCAAATGAGCTGATGATTACAGTCCCAGAAATCTCGGAGGCTGAAGCATGAGGATTGCTGTGTTTGGGGTTAGCCTGGGCTATGTAGCAAGACACCATCTCAAAAAAACTAAAAAGGAATGTGTATTCTGTTCTGTTTTGTTTTGTTTTGTTTTTTGGTTGTCACACACTCTAATTAGTTATAAAAAGTTATGATGCTATTTGTTCCTCAGATTATGCTATTGCACTTATCACATTTCTGATTTATTTTATAATATTTTAATTGCTAGTTTTTCTATAATGTGTTCTTATATTTGTTGGTAAAGTAGCCATAATATTTTGCTAAATATTCTGAGTTAATTGGGGGAATACAAATTATAAATATATGTAACAACATATACTCTTATTCTTTCTTTTTCATTTTTATCTAGGTACATCAGACACAACCACCTGGGAATATCCAGATGTCTGCAGACATTATTTTGGCTCCTTTGGGGAATGGTCAAGTCTCCTTTTCTCCTTGGTGTCTCTCATTGGAGCAATGATAGTTTATTGGGTGCTTATGTCTAATTTTCTTTTTAATACTGGAAAGTTTATTTTTAGTAAGTATTGATTTAGTTTTTAACCCAGTTACTCTCCAGTATCATTGTAATATTTTATATATAAAGTATTATAAATCATGGCTAATGTGCTTGATTTCAGCTTTTCTCTGCTTACGATTCCAAATATCACGTGTATAAACATTAAGTTTTTGCATAAATAATGGGTTTCCTTCTGACATTTTCATATTGCATTTCAATCATATTCACTTCCTGTTATACTCTCCTGTTCCCCTTCCACTCTTTTTAGTTCCCTTTCTCTTCCCAAGTAGATCCCTTCCACTTTTTTTTTTAGTCACCCAGTCAGTGTGTTTCATTAGGGTTACTTACACGAACATGGGTAAAAACTATTTACTGAAGCACACACACACACGTTAGCAGTGTCTGCAACGCTGACAAAAATGTCTCTCCCTCCTTGACAGTGGTTTCCTCCATATAAATTCTCATGAAGGGGTGGGCCCCAGGAACCCTTCCCACGTCAGTGAAAGTGTACCGACACGCCCAGCCTTAGGAAGATAGTCACAACCGCCGGGAGTCCATGGGTGCAAAGACTGTCCTACCGGAAGTCAGCTTGCCATCTGCCCAACTTCCACTATCTCCTCAGGGTTTTTGTGTTCCTCTTCCAGGATATTCCCTGAGCCTGGAGAGGGTGTTAAGTTGTTGACTGGGCATTCAACAGTCACTTATTCTCAGTTCTTTGGCCAGTTATGAGTCTCTGCAGTCAGCACTGACCACTGAAAAAGAAGGTTCTCTGGCCAAAGCTGATGTGAGCGCTATTTCATGAGCATGAGCTTATTTATGTAGAAGTTATGCCCATCATGTCCTTCAGCAAAACAGCAGCAGTAGCCCCCATGCTGAATGACCTCCCCCGCTACATTAACCTTTAATGAGCAATACTCCTTCAAAAGCTCTAATTATTATCATGTCTTCAAAATTTTAGTACTGTAACAGAAGAGTTTATGAAATCCACTGGTCTTGGTTGTTGAAGAGTTTGATGTTTTAACAGTAAACAACTTTACTCACTGAAACACTAGGAGCTAAGAGTAGAAAACAGTAGAATAGAGAATTGTAAATGGTATATTATTTACATGCCACAGAACCGTTACCTGTTCAAATCAGCTCTGAACTCGGAAGGAGGGTATTAAAAACTCAACCCAAGTGCTGTCTATAACATGTCAGGACACACATGTACAGTCAGAAGAGAACCTGTGGAAATAGGTTCTTCCCTTCTACCACTTAGGTTTCGGAGCTCAAACTGATTATATACTAACCACATATCCACCATCGTGTTGTAAACATCTTAATAGTTTGTATTCACTTTTATGTGGTGCGTCTTCAGGGGTTTTTTTTTAATCTTTCTTTCAAATTTGTTTAGGGTTTTGTTTTTTTTTTTTTTTTTTTTTCTTTTTAGTGTTTATAAGTTTTTTTTTTTTTGGTTCATAAGTCTTTTATATTCATTTTAGAATCAGGCAACTTGTCAAATTCTAGAACAATACAATTAAATCGGTTGAAATTGCATTGACTTTTTCAGTCAACATATAATTAGTATCATTAGGCTATTGGTTTGGAGTTAAAAATAATTGCACTAGAGCCGGGAGCAGTGGCCCATGCCTGTTATCCAGCACTTGGGAAGGCAGAGGCAGGCAGATCTCTGTGAGTTCAAGGCCAGTCTGGTGTACAAAGCCAGTCCAAGACAACCAAGGCTACACAAAGAAACCCTGTCTCAAAAAACCAAAAGAAGAAGGAGGAGGAGTGGGAGGAAGAGGAAGAAAAATAAATAATTGTGCTATACTGGGTGTTCTTTTCTATGATCATAGCATAGTTTAAGTTTCTGTTTAATGTCTTTTAAATTTTTTTTGGTAAAAGTCTTACATACTTTAGAAATACTTTTTCCTTGATATCTTAATTTGGTTTTATAAATGTACTTTCAATTCATTATTATATAATGCATACTTTTTATTATAAAAATTCAAATGTATACAAAATAAACAAAACAATACAAGGAATCCACATGTTCCTTTCACTTAGTTTTAATGGCTGCCAACATTCTACTGTACTAGAATAGTCTGTAATAGGGTTTTCTAACTCCCCCACTTTTTAAGAAATCATTGCCCTTTGAGGATATTTTATTCCAATTGACCCTCCAATGAATTTTTTTTAAATATTTATTATTTATACAGTATTCTGCCTGCATCTCATTACAAATGGTTATGAGCCACCATGTGGTTGCTGGGAATTGAACTCAGGACCTTTGGAAGAACAGCCAGTGCTCTCAACCTCTGAGCCATCTCTCAGGCCCTCCAAAGAAATTTTAATATCACAGATAAACCTCTTATAAACTGTGTATCTCTACAACATGTTCTCTTAAAGTAAGTTTTTTCCTCCCTGCAGGAATGAATTTTTCTCATTGCTAATACTATATCCATTGAGAAAACATGAGCCATGATATGCCCCTCACTACTCTAATTCAGATATTATTTTTCTTTCCTTTTCTTCTCTTTTTCACTTTCTTTCCCCACCCCTTTTGGCATAAAGCATGGCCTTGTTTGAAAGCAAACAAGAGCAGCAGACCCAGCACACGGCTTACCCATGTCCACCTTCACTGTAGGATGGTACGGATGCTCCGGCGTCTGCACACACCTCTATCCTCCAGTCTCACTCAGCAGCTCTCACAGGCACGATAACTACTATACAGCCTTAGCTCTAAACCTATGTTCAGTACCTTCTGAGAACGTCAAGTAGTTTTCCAAATAGGCTTAGTCATGTGTCGTGGTCTGCTTCCCTTTGGGCATACCTGAGAACTTTACATAAAATATAGCTGTACTTCAGTAAGTTAATGTAAGTAGGAAAACATTATACACATTATCTTCCTTCCATACTTTTTAACTTCCATTAATTCAGCCTTGTGAGTAGGTTTTTTTTTGTTTTTTTTTAACCTTATGTAAAATTATGTAAAATTTTTCCACATGGGACTGTGAGGCAAATGACATTTCTTTCTGATAGGCAAAGAAAACTAAAAGTGAAACTATGTAACTATGAAATAGTTTGTACTCAATATTATATATAGCAAATAACTACTTTTATAAACAAAAGACTTTAGATGGTGATGAGATTTGGCATGGTTCATTCCTTTTTTAACTATGTGTTTATCTTTAACTTTTAGATTTTGTTCATCACATTAATGACACAGAAGCTGTACTGAGAACCAATAATAGCAACCCTGGTATGTCGTTTGGAATTCAGTTTGTTTCCCTGTCCCCAATTCTGCTCCCAAAAGGATTTAAAAATAGTATGCACTGCCCCATTTTAGGTAACGGGCTAGGGGAAAAAATGTTATGTTACTGACTCACTGTTAAATTATTAGCAGTATGTTAAATTATTGGTTTTATGTTTCAGAATAGATCTTATATGTTTGAGTGTGATTCGATGGTAGTACACCTGCCTGACATGTGGGAAGCACTGGGTTTGAATCTCAGCATCATAAAAGGATAAAGACTAAAAAACAGCATTAAAAAAAAGACTGGTGAGCTGGCTCAAAGGCAACAAGCCTGTCAACCTGAGTCTGACCCCCACAGACCCATGAGGTTGAATAAGGAACTCTTCAAGTTGTCCTCTGACTTCCAAATATTTACAATAAGTAAGAAAAATAAATAAATAAATGCTGAGAGAGAGAAGATAGGAAGGGGGCAAAAAGAAGATAAACATATCCTCCAGACTTCCAGTTCTCAAAGTGTTGTCTAGACTCTTAGGCTCCTGTAAGTGGGGTAAACGGAGGAATTATTTTGGATTATTAAACTCCAAATTCTGTAGTTTTTTTTTTTTTTTTTTTTTTTTAACTAGTGATCAGGGATTTCTGCTAATCTCCTAACGCATAGGTGTTTTGTTTTGTTGTTTGGTTGGGTTTTGTTGTTGTTCTTAAAAGAAAGAAAGAAAGAAAGAAAGAAAGAAAGAAAGAAAGAAAGAAAGAAAGAAAGAAAAGAAAGAAAGAAAAAGGGGCCAGTGAAATATCTCAGTAAGTAAAGGTACATGCCCCCAAGCCTGATGACATAAGTTCAGTCCCAAGACCTATGTGGTGGAAGGAGAGAACTGACTCTGCCAAGTTGCCCTCTGGCCTCTGCACATGGTCTGCGATGAACATGCAGAAACACACACACACAAATAATAAATTTAATAAATTTTTGAGAGAAAAGTCCTGCTGTTTGTACTTTTTAACCCCTTTCCAGAAGGGCAAGTGCATTTGTGCCAACAGCTAAGCAGGTGCCAGTCCCTGGTCACAGAGATTCTGCAGCTTATGTGATCTCATCTCTAACATGGGACCTACTTAACTTTTGCAGTAATTTGTCCAAGCACTGGGAGTGGTGGCCATCCTGACAACAGCTCCATGATGTTCTACAGCAATACCACAGAACTGCAGCAGTTTGAGAAGTGGTGGGATAAGTCCAAGACGGTGCCCTTCTACCTCATAGGGCTGCTCTTGCCCCTGCTCAACTTCAGATCCCCTTCGTTTTTTTCCAAATTTAATATCCTAGGTAAGAAGCTACTTTGTGGAACTTCAGCAGTGGTGTGGGGAGAGAGTTACCTTCTGGGCTATTCATATCTGTTTAACTTGTTCATTCATCTGATCCTGTGATTTTGTTGCTGTTAGTTTTCTTTTTTTTTTGTTTTTGTTTTGTTTTGTTTTGTTTTTTTATAAAGTTTGGCACAGAAAAATGGTCACAACCATTTTAGGTTCCTTTTGCCTTTGTTTTGTTTTGGTTTTCTTGATATGAATTACTAGGTTTCCCATCTAACCTTCTTGAACAACTCTTACTTCCTATGAGAATACAACTAAAGGAAATAGACTAAAGTCTGAAGAGACATCTAAATTGCTGTTATATGAATTCTCTGTTTTAAAAGTATGAAGACACTGGACTTGCCAAAGAAAGAGTTTGGTCCCACACACACACTGTGTAAGAGTATTACATAGCCGGGCATGTTGACACATGCCACTAATCCTAGCACTAAGGAGATAGAGGCAGAAGGAGTGGAAGTTCAAGGTCATCCTTGGTTTTAGAGAGAACCAAGGAGCGGGCACTCAGGTATTTCACAGGATTGCTGTTTAACTTCAAATTTAGGAGATCATCCTGTAGCTAAGTTTTTTTCCTCATTCATTCATCCATCCATCCATCCATCCATCCATCCATCCATCCATCTATCCATCCATCCATTTATGTGGTCTCAGGGAATCAAACCCAATGCTTTAAAAACAGAAAGACAATGGGGCCTTGTGCCTGCTGAGCAACCTGCTCTGCTACTGAGCTCCACTCCAGCCCTAACTCAGCTCCTTGGGTTTATTCTGCTTTTTGCTCTTCCTCAGTTTTGATTTCTTAGTGCAGTTGCCTCCTTAAAGGAATAGACCTGTATGTGTCTCCTGTTTTACAGAAATCTCCAAAGGAATGTTTTGACCCTATTTAAGTTGACAAAAAGCTCCAGTGAAAGCTCAGATCCTGTTAACTAAAGCGATAGAGCTGGGCATTAGAAAGACTTGTTAGACTCAGTCTATAGGATTTTACCTCCTCCTTAAAGCTCTCCCAGTAGGCAGCTAGTAGCAAACAGTAATCAGATTATCTGTCATACCAAGGGACTAGGAGGTACAAAACCAAAATGTAACAGGGTTCTCAGGAGATGAAAGGAAAGGGGAAGGCTAGGTCTCTGACTATCTCCCTCAGAGCAGGATGCTGGAAGACAGCATGAACATGAGAACGAGATGTTATGTAAGCCTGGCCTGCTGTCTTCATCTCTCTGAATCAGCTAATCCCTAAACCCACAGTCCAGCTTATAGAGCTACTTGTGGTTTCCTGACTCGCTGCTGACTTTCCAGTGGAACAAGTCTTTCACAAGCATGTGAACTTAGGGTTTGCACAGTGAAACCTCATGATCTTCCAGCCAGACTTTAGAGTCATTCTGCTGCTGTCCTTCTCCTTGGCACTGTCCCCCTCCTCTTACAAACTGTAACTTGCTCCCAGCAGTAGCCTCGAAGGGCATTAAACAGGTCTGATTGTCCTCCATAGTGACTGGACCTGCTTTCTCAGGAGGAAGAGTCTGGACTTGGAGCTGGAGCTCATGAGTGAGCACTTGCCTTGTGTATTCCAACAAGGCCCTGAGCTTGATCCCCAATGCTGCAGAAAACATGTTTTAAATTAAAAGATTTTAAAAATCCTCTAATTTCTACACTACTAAAAATTCTGTATGGCACAGCCTCAAATAGCTTCTAGCTTATTTGTTTACCTCTCTCAAATAATTTGCTTTTTTTTTTTTTTTTTTTTTTACTTTCTTATCATTTCAAATTAACTTGGCAGATTTTTCCAGTGTGTTGGATGTCTCCCAAAACCAATAACAAATAAGTTGGTTTTGGGTTTGGTTTTTTTTTCCCTCTTGTATAACGGACAATTTTGTAATGGCTTCTGCTGTTGCTTCCACTGAATCCCTGAGTTAACTAAACAGTTCCCATTCAGTGAATGACTCATGATGTTCCTCATCTCCATCTCCTCAGGCTTACTACCTAATTTTGTTTCATTTTCTGATAACTCACAAGGCTAATTTTTATTCTTTAGAATCTAGCTATTTTTTAAAAAATAAGATTAATCAATGAAGATAATCTCTCCAGATTTTTAAAGTAGTCTGGGGGCTGGAAAGATAGCTCAGTGGTTAAGAGTGCTAGCTTCTCTTTCAGAGGTCCTAAGTTCAATTCCGAGCACCAACATAACTGTCTACAACTGTAGTCCCATGGGATGGTACATACAGACACCTCTATACATAAGTCAAAAACCTTAAAAAAATAAAACAACATCCTCTGTAAGATACACAAAGATGTTAAATGGTTTCTGGGTTTGTTCTTTGTTCCCTCACAGGCACAGTATCTGTCCTCTATTTGATTTTCCTTGTTACCTGGAAAGCTATTTGCTTAGGATTCCATCTGGAATTTCACTGGTTTGTGCCAACAGAATTTTTTGTACCAGGTGAGTTCGTCAAAATGAGACATTACTAATAACAAGAATGTGTTCTTTAAGTTAACTACTATGAAGTGTGAGTCTTAAACAGGTAATACAAGGTTGATGTGGTGGATCGCGCCTGCCAGTTTCAGACTTGGGAAGCTGGGATAGAAGGACTGCCTTGAGTTCTAGGCCAGCCTGGCCCATAGAGTGAGATGCTGCCTCAGAAAAACAAAAATACATGAATAAAACAAAACAGTACTATAGTTGGTATTGCTGGCAACGAGGGATAACCAGGTCTCTGTTTTCGACTTGACACCTAACGTCCAGTTAGTTTATAGTGCACTTTAAGAAATCAAGAAACTTATTCTTTAGACCTCTCTAAGGAATATGCTTAGAATGACAGAAACTTAGAACATTATGATGCATGTCAATAATACTGCTCATAAAAAATTTTTCCTTTAATCCCAGCACTCAGGAGGCAGAGGAAGTAGGATTGCTATGAGTTTTGAGTCTGGCTGGTCTACATTGTGAATTCCAGGCTAGACAGGGCTGCGCAGAGAGACTCTGTCTTCAAAAAGAAAAAGAAAAATCGTTGTTCTCTTTATGGATTTTTTTGTTTGTAATTTTATTGGTTCGGGGATTAAGATTATGATTATTAAATGGATTTTTCACCTGTCCCATTCCTTCTCCTGATTATAATGTGGCAATTTATTTCACCTAAACTTAAAGTATATAAGACATAAAAATCACTAATAAAACAATGAGTAAATGAATGAGTTATACTAAATGAGAATAAAGATTAAAAGATGAAAATGACTGTCACAAAAATATCTTGAAAACTAATGATCAGAAAATAGTGATCAATCCTTTGTTGGTTTAGAGAGTCTGCTTTCTTTCTAATCTTCAGTCACCAACTCAAGCAGTCTAGAATCCCAAGGCACTATTCAGAATCTAGCCTTACTTCCTGAAATATGTAGTTGGAGCTGTCTCCCTAGGTCTTTGTTATAACCTTCCTAGGCAGTCAGGTTGTATTGAGTGTATGGTCATTGGAAATTGTTGATGATGTTACTATGGCTACTTGATCACAGAACATATTAGTTTATTAGCGTTGAGTTTCCAAAGAACTGGGCCTTAGAAGAGCACACTTCTCTCCAGCATTGTGTGGTAGTACATTCCTTTACTCCAGTGTTGGGGAGACAGGGGCAGCACGATCTCTGCGAGTTCCAGGACAGCCAGAGATACATAATAGAAAGACCCTGACTCAAAAAGACCAAAGGCAGATGGGAGCCTGAAATGGCAGTATTGAATTCTTACACTGTTTGGCAAAAATAGTCCAGAGTATTGTTTTTTAATATTGTGTCTATTATTTATTAAGCTATACTGAGGAAAGTTTCTAGTAATGATAGTACACTAAAAATAGATAACTAGTAGAGCTAGAAAGACACAGCAATGAAGAGTATTTGTTGTTCTTGCAAAGAACTGAAATTTGATTTCTAGGACCTACAACCACAGCTATACCTAATTAAACAAAATAAAAATATTTCTAAAAATGTATAATCAGGGAAAGGATGCATAGATATCTGGGAAACAGAAAAGAAATTTCTAAGTAGATTTCTAAGTAGTTGTCATTCATTTCTCATTGTCCAATTTTCTGTAGTAAAAGAGGGAATAATGAAGCTTAAACAAAGCATGGAAGGGTGCTGCTTACTGTCTTGCTCCTCATCTTGCTCAGCCTGCTTTCTTATAGAACCCAGGACCACCAGCCCAGGGATGGCCCCACCCACAATGGGCTGGGTCCTCCCCCATCAATCACTAATTGAGAAAATGCCTTACACTGGATCTCGTCTCCATGAGGCTACTTCTTCTCTTAGCTTGTGTCAAGTTGACATGAAACCAGCCAGTACACTGGATATAGAACTCAGTTTGTCATTTTTAGCAACAAGTGACTTTACCTGATGAGCATCTCACTTGCCCTGTATTCTTATTTCTAAATCTTTGCCTTTTAGTAAGCCTGGCATAGCATCAGCCTTGCTCTCAGGCGGTAGTTGGGGAGGAAAAGGTTAAAGCTTTACTTAAGTCATTAATTCTACTTTCTTACTTACTCAAAGGCTTTCATCCCCTAAGTAGTGTCATGCAGTCAACTAGTTCTATATATTGCCTGTATGTTCTCCCACCCAGCTCCTCCATTAAGCCCCTTCTCATGTGCCCAACTTTTGTGCTCTCTCTCTCTCTGTCTCTCCAATGTCTGTGGATATGTCAAGCTCAAACCAAAAATCAAATATTTGTTTCAGTGTTCGTCCCTACCTACCAACCTGCTTGACTTGCTCTTTTCTCAGCCTCTTTTCCAGCCGCTCAAACACCGTATAGTCTTTGACTGTTTTCCGTCCACACCCAACACATCTGCAAAGTGTTTGTTTTATTTCTAAAAACAGTTAATAATCTGACTTCTTAGCAGCTCCACCAAAAAGAACTATGTCAGGCTAATAATCTCGTGCCTGGATTATCAGAGTGCCCTCCTAACTGACTTGGCCTATATTCTCCTCCACCCAGCAGCTAGAGGAATCCTTGTAAAACCACCCAAGCCAGTATGGTGGTGCATGCCATAAGGGATCTGGAATTTAAGGACAGGCTTAAGTCGTTTCTATGTTTAAGGACGCAGTAAGCCTTGTCTTAATAAAAAAAAACAACAACAACAACAAAACAAAAACCAGAACCTACAGAATTCTTCAATGATTCCCATCTCATTTAGAAAGACACCAAGTCTTTATGATGGTTCTTAGCTCCAGTCTGACCTGACTCTCTGTATTTTCCAACTTAATCCCCTGCTGCTTTCCCTCTTGCTGACTCCAGCCACACTGGCTTCCTGGCTCTTGTATGAAAATGCCAAGTGCATTCCTATCTCAGAATTTTGGTGTTCACTGTTCCCTGTGGATGAACGCCCTCCTTCCTCATATCCCTGACTACCCACCCCCAGTCTCCTCGGTACTTTTCTTTAAAGCTCTCATCAGTACTCAGCCTTGTATGCAGGTACCTGTGCTGTCTGTTAAGAATTCCTGATTTAAATGAGTTGGGATCTTAGGGACCCAATTTATTCTAATTCATTTGCTTCCTGAGTTTCACAAAGTAGCAAAAGTTACAGTAAAAGGAATTTATCCAGAAATGTTCTAAATGTTTTGGGTTTTTTAATTCAGATACCAAAAACTCATTTTCTATTTATGTATCTGTCATCTTTAACTGGAATATTACTCTCTGAGGAGTATTATTTTTGTTTTTTAAACTTCTGTATTACTATTGTATTTCTTAAATCCTATAATATAATCCACTGAGGGCTGGAGACATGGCTCAGTGGTTAAGAGTACTGTCTGCTCTTCCAAAGGACCTGGATTCAATTCCCAGCACCCACATGGCAGCTCACACCTGTCTGTAACTTCAGTTCCAAAGGATTTTACTTCCTCCTAAATTCCATTAAAATATAAGTAAAGACACACATGATAAAGGAAGAACTAGGGAACAGTTCCAGAGGATGGAAGAATTAGGTCAAGTGGAAAGCCAAAGAAAGTTGCAAGAGGTAAACAGAGGTGCTAAGGGGACATTTTTAAAGAAAAAAGTACATTTTTTTTTTCTTTTTTATGTATTGTATAACTCGAGAGCGGAGAGTTTACAATTCTTAAGTAAAATTTGAGGAGGAACTAGTATTAACTAGATAATTAAGGGGCTAAAAAAGAAAAAGTTATTTCTTTTCTCCAGAAAAACAGGACAATGAAAAGAATTTTTATATAAAAGGAAATTAAGCACACTATATCCCCTGGCTTACTATGAATTCTGTTATAATCATAAAAATAAAAACTTGATATTTTTTTCCAATCCAAGTTAAGAACATGATTATTTAGCGCTTCTGCTCCCCGTGTCGATTATAAGCACCGACCATCTCGTGTGGTTTGTGTGGTGCTAAGGATGGAATCCAGTTCCTTCTTCACACTTGGCTCGAGCTCTGGTGACTGAGCCACATCCCCAGTGTTGTTTAACGTTTAACAGTTTTTGTTGGTTGGATATTTTCCCCCAAGGCAGGGGCAGGTAGGGTTTCATGTAGTCTAGGCTGGCCTAATGCACTGAGTACTTGAGGGTAGCCTTCAATCCTATTCTTCCTGCTTTTACCTGCACGGTGCCGAGATCAGAGGCATATGCCACTACGCCAGGCTAACTCAACAATTAGTACTCTCAAAACTGCAATTAAGATGACATTTCTGAGCTGGGTACTGTGGCTCATGTCTGGAATCATGGCACCCAGGAGGCTGAGCCAAAAGATTGTCACAAGTTAGAGGTTAGCCTGGGCTACGTAGTGAGACCTATCTCAAAAAATATAAAAATTAAAAAAAAAAAAAAAAGTAAAACCTTACAGTTCTTTGAAACTGACTTGACTTCAAAAAGACTTTAGACACTAGTTTAGTATGTATATGTGCCACACAAGCAAGAGGCCAAAGGTTGGCATATCATGTGTTTTCCTCTTTTCCTCAATCAACCTCCAAACTTTTTTTTTTTTTTTTTTGAGGCAAGGTCTCAAATGAACCAGGAGCTTGTGAATTCAGTTTGACTAGCCTGGCTTGGACGGTAGCCCTGAGGATCTTCCTGACTTCATTTCTCTAGTGCTGATTTGTTTTGTTTTGTTTTCTGTTGTTGGTTGGTTGGTTGGTTTTTGTTTTAAGCATGTTGCCAGGGATCTAACCTGAAGTCTTCATGATTACAGGGCAAGTGCTCTACTGACTGAGCCTCCCCCACCCAAGCCCCTGACTTGCTATTTTCAAAGCATTATTCTGTTCCAATATAACAAGAAAACAAAACTTTTTCCTGCTCATGTATATTGAATAGTTTTGCTAGGAGCATACTATGTTTTAACCAAATATTAATACCTAAGAGTATCTCTAAGTAAAATAGAACTTTTAGCTACTTCTATGTATATTCCCTGCCCTTTGATTGTTGTTTGTTTGTTTAGGAACTTTAATATTGAAGTAGAATATGCGTATGCAGAAATGTTTTCATTTAGTTTCCGTAAACTGTACCTGACTCCTGGCCAGCATCCAGATCAAAACTCCAGTGATTGGATCTCCTCGTCCTCCCCAGTCAGGGTCTCCCTGTAAGAATGACATACCAAAGATTGATTTTGCTTGCTTTTTAACATCATAGAAGTGGAACATAAATATATATATCCTTTGGGGTCCGTCTTTTTTCGTTATCGTTGACCTTGGAGATTGCTCCATGCTGGTGCATGCACTGTATCAGTTCATTGTCCCTGCATGTATGTCTGCCACAGTCTGTTTTATCTTTTGCCACTTAGGAAGGACTTGAGTAGTCTCTAACTTTTTGCTACTAGTTTCATTTTGCAGTACTCTTTCATTCTTCTATGTCTTGGGAGAACATCTGGCTGCCTTCTCTTGGGTATAAACCTAGGTCAAAGAATATGCTGTGTGCTGCTTAAGAGAGGCTGTCAAACAGCTTTGGCCAGAGGTTGCACCCACTTCGTTCTCCCAACATTTGTTTAGGGATGGTAGACGTTCTGGGTCCCCACCAGCGCATGTCTTTCCTTCTCCCCTCACTTTTCTGATACATCTGTGTGTGTCACATTTCCCTGACAGCTAATAAAGGTGGTACCTCTGTATGTTTGATTGTTTAGGCAAGGTTTCTCCGTTCAACCCAGGTAGCCCCAAACTCCCAGCCATCTTCTTGCCTCAGCCCCCTGACTGCTGGGATTACAGGCTTGTGTCATCATGCCCAGCAAGGTAGTACTTTTCATATGTCCCTAGACACGTGGATCTGCGCTTTGGCAAAGTTTTTCTCTGAGTAGTTTTCTATTTTTCATGTTTCACTTATATTTCTTTATATATCCTGAATATGAGTACTTTGTCAGGTATAGGTGAAAATTATCCTCTCCCTGTGCCCACCTCCTAGGGTTTAAAATCAGTCTTGGGCCTTGCATATGCCTGGCAAGCACCACAGCTCCATCCCAGCACTAGCTTGCATCCCTTTGATGCATGTTTTCAAAATAAAAGATTAAGTGGTTTGAAAATGACTAGCAGTTTATGGCTTCATTAAATTCTTTGTGAATTTATCTTCTTTAATTATGGTGCAATAACATAGCATGAATTTTATATTCTTTGAAAAGGCGTATTTGCCATATTTCTCCCTAGAGTGATGTGTGTGTGTGTGTTCATAGCTGCATTATTCATAACCATAAAAGTGAAAGCAACCCAATGTCTGTCCCTTTGAGTATATAAAGTATGATCTATCACTATGGTGGAATATTGTTCAGGATTAGAAAGTTACAAAGTACACAAAGTAATTCTGTGTATACTAACAACCATTTAGGGTTATGCTTTACATCATGAATAATATTTTAATAACACTGAAAATCTTAGGTTTTTAAAAATTTTGCTCAAAAAATATTTGTCAGTTAATTGCAAAAGCCTTAATTTGAAAAGGACCATGTTTACAAGGCATCATAGACAGAGGGTGATTTCTTTGAGACGAGTCAAAGTAAAATTAATAGATCTCAACTCTGAAATAGTAGAATTTAGATCAGAATTTAAATAGAATTCTAATCGTATCCATGGCCAAGAGTACTTCAGTTCTGAAAATAGTGTTCCTTCTTCATGCCTCACAGTGCTACATAAAACATGACCCACTGCCCTCTGAGAGATAATAAGACAATCATAATAAAAAGAGACACACAAGGGATTCTGGAGTACAAGGAGATTGTATATACAAGAGGAGGCAAAGAGGGGATCTCAGAGGAATCTATTAAGGGCAGAAAGGAGATCTCTAAGTGAGAAGCTGCAGAATTCCCAGGGATGTGCCACGCAGTTAAGGCCTGAAGTAACATGACTCATTTAGGAAATTATGAGAATTTGAATGGCTCATTTGAAAGAATAGTTGTTGAGAAAATGTTAGGAACTGGACTGAAAAGCCCATCTTTTGAAAGCTAAATATAACTCTAAAGGCCAGTTATGACCTTCTCCTCCTCCTCCTCCTCCCACACTTGCAAGATAGGCTTTTATGTTCTTAGAAGACAAGCAGGGAGAAGGAAGAATAGTGCTATAGTTCTCTGCTTGAAAATAGAATTCATAGTGAGGCTGTCATGATGAAATGTTACCCAAAAAAAGGATGAGGTCAGGGGTGCTTTTCCCTCCTTTTAGTCACTCTCAGTCAACAGTGAAACACTGTCAGATCCTTTGGGGCTGGGCTATGATTCTTCATTCGGCGCTTGCCTAGCGTGCAAAAGACCTTGAGTTTGATCCTCAGCACCACATAAAACTGAATTTGTTGGCACACACCTCTAATCCCAGAGAGGTACGTATAGGAGGATCAAGCAGTTAAGGTCCTTCTCGAGTTCATAGTGGATTTAAGGCCAGCCTGCGCTACATGAGAGCTCATCTCAATGCAAAAACAGAACCTCAGGATCCAGCATAAACATGGCCCAGATAACTGAAAGCTTGGTAATAAGGGACCCAGAGCTCGAATCCCTTCTCACTGCCCAGTTTCTTAGACCACTCACAACACCTACTGGATCTGTCTAGGTTCTCCTGTAAGCAGGCCCCAAAGTGGTGTTAGCAGAGCAAGAAATGTGGGGCAGCACTTTCGAAAGAGTAAAGGGATTAGGAGCAGGACCGGGCATAGCTGGGTGTGTAGGAAGGGAGAGAAGGAAAGGAAGTGGATTGGACAGAAGTAAATTCTGTCCACAGCCAGCCCACTGTGACTCTCAGTGCAAATACTGCCTCTAGAACAGTCTAGGGTTACACACGTGTTCCCAGACCCTGTACACTACAGCGCTCAGGGCTGGCTGGTAGCTGCCAGCGTGAGAGGGACTAGTACAGGAAGAGGGCAGCAGACACCCAGGGGTTGCAGCCAGAAACCACCAGCTACCTCCCTCCTTGCTTAGGTTCTCACTTAAAGGGAGGCCTGAACAATGTACTTCCACAGCAGTGTTTCAAAGTACACGAACACACATTTGTCTAACAAAAACGAAAGAGGATGGGATTGGGAGGGAATGAGGAAGGGGGCTACAGCTGAGATACAAAGTAAATAACCTGTGATTAATATAAAAAAATAAAAATTAATTAAAAAAACAAAAAATGAAAGTACTCGTAGACCAAACATATGTCTGTTATGCTAATGAGGATGGGATTTAATTTGTTTTCTTACAACTTCTTCTAACCAGTTACTAACTGTATATAATGAAATGCTGATGGGGCGGGGCAACCCTTTGAGACAGGATCTCACACTAGCCAAAGCTAATCTGAAATGTACTAAATAGCCGAGGCTGGCCCCAGACCTGGCCCCCACGTGCTAAGGTTACAGGCATGAACCATCATGATTGGTCTTTTTCTTTTTTCTACTTAGTTGCTTTACTTTGAATTCTAGGTAAAGAGTTCATCATTAATTTTCTGTTAAAAATGTCAGCAAGTAATTTCATCTGCACATGACTTTGTCATCATTTTTTAAAATAGTGATTTTTGTGGTCAGGCTTGTGAATGTTAAGTAGAAGTGATCTCAGTTTATTGAAAGTTGTTTTTAAAGGATTACTAAAAATATTTTCTTAAAGCTAGCAAAGGAAGAATTTGCCTAAGAAATATATGGTGAATTGCATCCAGAGATAAAAATACAGATGAAAGGTGGTAAACAGGAAATATGGCAGAAAACAATAAGCCAGGCATGGTGACTTGTACCTGTGACCTGAGTGTTGAACTCAGGAGGCTGAGACAGTGAGAAAAAAAACAAGCAAAAAAAGAAGAGAAATGAAACAGTGTGTGTTTATTTACCTTACCCTCTGATGTTGTTTAGAGCTGGTGATTCATTCTTAGTGGATCTCACTTCCTATCCTAAAACAGTGTAGCAAAGAGTCATTGGCCTTTTCCACAGTTCCACTCTGTACACCATGCTGTCTCTGAGGTAGATTGTTCTCTACTTTGCCACATGCTTTGCCTAGACCTACCAATGTTGCCAAGTAAATTGTAGCCTAATGCCACATTAACTAATTGTTCGATTACTTATTGCCTGCCTCCAAACTGTGGTCATACAATATTTTAACTAACTATTTATTACAGAAAATTAAGTGGTTAATTTTAAATAAATCCTATAAACCAGGGATAACCAATGTGACTCTGTCAGTATTTTCTTTCTTTCTTTCTTTTCTTGGGTACATAACATACAGCTGTTTATGTGCATTTTGAAAAAGCAAAAGCAAAATCATTCTTGACATGCTGCTTGACTCATAAGCATTTGTCCTGATATTAAATCTCAACAGCATAATTTTTAAATACTGCATCCCACTGCAAAAATATGTTAGCTTATCCAGTAATATTTTTAAGAAATCCATTTTAGATTTGTCACCCAAGAAACATAAATAGGCATTTTTCCTCTCTGTGATTTTTTTTTTCTAGAGGAACTTTCTCACAAACTCAGGTATTAGAAGAATAGAAGATTTTAGTGTCATAGACAGACCCTAAATTTAATTTAAATTAAATTTAAATTTAATTGTGGGATCTCAGCTAGGGATAACTGAAAGTCACAGAATGCACATCCCTTAATTCCTTTTCTTTCTATTTTAAGTGTTTTTCCCACATAAAATGCTCACCTTGAGAGACTTTATAAACACTTGAATATTCATATTCCCTGAGAAAAAAATAATAATAAAGAGGGGACTGCTTTTAATGGCTGCTAATGCTCACTTTTTACTTGACATTTTAACCTGTTTGTTTTTGTCTCTTTTTCTCCTAGAGATAAGATTTCAGTTTCCACAGCTGACTGGAGTGCTTACTCTTGCATTCTTTATTCACAATTGTATTATTACACTCTTGAAAAACAACAAGAACCAAGAAAATAATGTGAGTAGTTAACTGAGAAACTGACCATGCTATTGCCTAATGATAGATTTCAATCAATATCTGAAGCACTTTGTATTTTGAGTAAAATTATGCAATTTCTATATTTTATTTTTTAAGCTTAAACTATAGATCAGTGGTTAAGAGCATGAAAATTTTAGATGGTAAATATTTTAGGCTTTATATATATTCTTGTTACCACTACCCCATCCTGCTGTTGTGGCATGAAAACAGCCACAGACAGTAGATAAACAAATTTGGATGGCATCTGTGTCTCAATAGAGCTTTATTTACAGAAACAGACAGTGGGTCACATTTGACCCATAGACTGCTATATAAAAAATAAAGACATAAAACTCCAATAATAAAATAAAAATTTAAGATACTAAAGAGAAGAAAAAGAGAACAAAAAATATATGTGAAAAAGAAACTAGCCAGGCATGGTGGTGCACACCTTTAACCCCAGCATCTCGGGAGGTACAGTCAGGTAGGTCTCAGTGAGTTTGAGGCTAGCCTGGTCTACAGGATAGCCCGGGGCTGTTATCCAGAAAAATCCTGTCTCAAAAAAACAGAAAGGGGGGAGTGACTAAATCATGCTAGATCTAAGTAGATTTAGCTCAGTCACAATGATAATTACTAAATATAAATAGCCCAAGCACTACAGTGAAAAAATTACCAGATTTGTTAATAAAAATAAAATTAACTATATAGTATCTGTAAGGAATTTTAAATATAAAGACATTAGAATACTATAAGCAAGTAAAGCACCTGTGTTACTAGCAGCAAAAGTGACAGGGGCAGAGTCGAGGAGGAGCGATTACATTGTGATCCTTAGGGACTGATTTGATTGGAAGTACCATGGTGACACATATAAAACCTACACTTGAGTAATTGCCCTAATAAGGACATCCTATCTTTGAATTAGATCTTGCCATTTGCTAAAGCTATAAAGATATCAGTTAACAGTACATGTATTTTTAGTTACTGATAATGTAATATTACTGATAAAGTACTCTCTAGTTGATACTGTTAGATTACAATGTTCTTCATTCATGTTCCTTTTTTATGTTTTTTTAATTTTACTTTCCATGTTAAGTCTGTTAGTTTTCATAAGTTTATTTGTAAATGAGTCTATAAGCAAGTCATCATGCATTGCAGAGGAAGTGTTTGCTTTAATGTCAGGTCATACAGAAATTATGCATTGAAATACAGTCATTCTCTTGGAAAGAAAGGAAGGAAGGAAAGAAGAAAAGAAGAAAATGTAATAATCCTGAATCCTGTATTCACCCAGTGACAGAACTTTAAAATAAATGAAGAGTGCCTGCAACATGGCACCGTTGGCAAAGCTGTCAACCTGAGTTCAGTCCTTGGGACCCGTGTGGTGAAAGAGAGAACTGACCCTAGCAAGTTCTGTCCTGACCTTCACATGCACATGCACATGAGCACGCGCGTGCGCGCGCACACACAGACACACACACCACTAAATAAGATGTAATTAAAATTAAAATAAATGAAATAACTGAAAGTAGACAAATCAACAATTATAACTGGAAATTTTCTTCCCTCCTCCTTAATAACTGGTAGAACAAACAAACAAAAAATTACAAGTATAGAAAGGATGAAAACTTTCATGAACATACCTCATCTAGTTGATGTTCATAAAGTCTTCTCAGTAGCAGAATGTATACTCCTTTCAAATACACAAGAACACCTGCCAAGATAGGGTACATGCTGGGTCAGAAGACAAGTGTCAGTCAATGGGGGAAAAAGTACACCAGGTATGTTCTCTAGCCAGAACAGAGTGAAAATACAAATATATGAAAGCTAACCAATATCTTCCTATATAACCAATGAATCAATGAAGAAGTCACAAGAACAATTTTAAAATACTTGAAGGTTACTGAAAATGAAAACTCAGAATACCAAAACTTACGGAATTGTCCCTAAAGCTATATTTAGAGGGACATAACACAGCTATAAATACCTACATTAAAAGTTTAAAATGTGAAATCAAAAGCCTAACCTTCCTCCAATTCCCAGATGCTAGACAGGAAGATCAAAAGTTCAAGGTCATCTGCCACTATATAGTAAGTTTAAGACCAACATGGGCTATGTGCGACCAAGTTTAAAAAAAAAAAAAAAAAAAAAAAAAGTAGTCTACTAGCAAAGTCTTGGTTTTGTTTTTTGTTTTTAGACAAGGTCTTATTATGCAGCCTTGGCTGGCCTGGAACTTGCTGTATAGACCAGGCTGGCTTGGAACTCACAGTGATCTGCCTCCTGAATGCTGGGATTAATAAGGAGTCAAATTACAGCCAATTCTCACATTGCATGGTTCGTACATGCACAAATTTAATTACTGTAGATCAGATTACATGAGTCGCAGTATGGTTCAGATTTCAGTTAGCCCAGTATTTGAATTATGAGCCTTTCATCAAGTAATAGTCACTACCCTGAGTTCACAAACCGTTGTGTAAATAACAAGTGCTCAGCATGATTAGTGACTGATCACATTACTGCTTTCAACTCAGCCAACATTTGATCACTGTGGGTGTACTTGTTTTAGCTATTTTATTTGCGTTCTTATATCTCTACCTCTGTACTCCACCTCAATTTCTTCCCACACCAGGTAGGAGAGACAGGAGGTTAGTGGGGAGAGGAGTTGTTGGTCTCTCTTTAGACTACTTCCTGCTGATTAGGGTCATTAGGTTCCTTTGGGCAAGGCCAGTCTTCCTAGTCAGGATATCTCCAACTTCTTCAAATTGCAACAGCAGCCACCAGGAGCAGTAGGGGGGAGGAGCCACCTTCTTCTTTGGAGTGCCCCGTCCCTCTCTGGCATTTATTCCTTCTCCAGAGTCCTCAGAATTAAACCATCTGCAGCTGCCAAAGAACACGCCCCTGGTAGTGCATTAAGACAATCATAGTTAACAGCTGTGGACACACTGAAGCAGGACCATATCTCACACCTGGGATTAAAACAAAACCATTTTCACACAACAGAACTGAGGTTTTAAAGAAGCCCAAACTCTGACTACAGATCACTTGCATGTCATTCACAGTCTACAGCAGAGAGTGTGTTGCCCCTTCAGCAGTAAGCATTGTACTTTATAAAACTGATAACTGAAAGGAGTTAACATACGAAGGTGAAATGCAACAATCAAAAGTGGCAATGATAGAATGAATTTTTATTCTACATAAATGAAGTTATCAAAATAGCGATTATAGAAATGTTGTGACTGCTTCCATTTGAGAGACTCAGGATACACCTCCAGAGGAGTTTAAGGAAAGTAAATTTGGAAATTGGTTTTCAAAACAAGAAGAAAGCTGTCCCAGCAGGAGTTACACTGTCAGAAAACTTCACATTAAAAGAATTCTTAAAGATTTCCCACAATATTGAAAGCACAAGGATAAAAAGTTAGAAGCCATGCAAAGCTGAAGTATACTTCACTGAGGCCTTGGAAAGATGCTTGCTACATATTGTAAATCATTCACTAAAAGGACACAAGTGTTAGCCCTCCCCACTTCTGCACTCCACCACTAGGGAAGTGAAATCAGGATGGTCAGGAATTCAATGTCATCCTCAGCTACAGAGTGAGTTTCAAGCCAGCCTGGGCTACAGAGACATTATCCCTAAAGACCAGGTTGGGGAGAGAGAAGTGTAGTTCAAGGTACTCTTAAGGTTAAAAAACAAAACATTCTAATGTTTAATGTTTCAGATTCACTTGTTCATTTATAACAATGCTGAGTTTTGAAGCTAGGGCCCTGTGTATGTGGGCAAGTGCTACACCACTGAGCTGCATCCCCAGGTCCTTTGTTGCTGGTACTACAATCCTCAATAAACACGTATTTTTTCACTTCCTTCTCCATTTGTAACAGACACTAAAAGTTTAATGTTTTCACCAAAACTGTCAAAGATTACACACCCGCCATAATTTCTGTCACTGTAATGGGTATCCAAGGCTCCGGCTGCATGGTATCGTGTGCATTGCACTGTCATCTGAAGACTCTCAGTGCTTGACTCCTCCTCCCAGAAGTCTCCAAGAGAATTGCTTTTTCAGACAGTTAGGCCTGTTTGTGTGGAAGGGCAGGGCGCATGCCTCTTTATGGGAAGCTGAGAACTGGCTAGAGACACGGGTGCCATGTCCCTGCCCCAGGCTAGGAGGTCTCTGTCTTTTCACTGGAACAGTCAAGGGTCTGCAGGCGGTGTTCAGTGGTAGAGCTCCTGCTTCCCACACATGCGTGAGGTGTGAGTTTGAGAGCCAGCGGCACGCACACAGAACAAGGTGGAAGGCTGGGCGCCAGGAAGTACTGACTGGGTCAGCTAGGCCTCTGTAAAACTAGTATATTAGATGTACTAATAAAATCTGTCTTCGCTTTTGTCACTTACAGAAAGTACTTTTTAAAGAGAGACTTAAATTTAAGCCAGTGTTTAAATGGATTTTTTTTTATCCTTTTTAGTGTCTTAGTTAAAACTATAGTATGAAGTAATAGTCTAACTGTAAACGTTTTTTTAATTTTTAGCTTTGTACAACTGTTATTTTGTGTGTGTACAAATGCTGTGTGTACACAGAGAGGTCAGAGAACATCTGTGGGGAATCGGGTCACTTCTTCTACCATGTGAGCCCTGGGGACTGAACTCAGGTCGTAAGGCTTAGGAACAAATGCCATTACCTGCTGAGCCATATTGCCTGACCTAGTCTAACTATTTTTGTAAAAAGCAGTTGTACTTCATTTGAACTTCTTAAAATGGTAATACCTATTAGGAAAATAAACATATATGAAGTACTATGTGCCATTAGCATTCTAACCATTTTAAATGTATGTAAATGTATAGGGTCTTAATTATACCAAAATTGGCTTTTATATTGGCATAAATCAAGCTAAATGGACACTATAATATTTGAGTTATTTAATGATTACACTTTTTAAGAGCTTTCACGAAATAATTTGACTGAAAAATGCCTACTTAATGTGTGATACAAAATTTCCTTGGAATTAAAGTCGGGAAAGGTGAGAGTTGTGACGGCATTTGAAAGAAAGCCAGGTCTTTCCCTCCAGTGTCCCCACGGCTGGGGGACACTGATCTGATCTGACCCCTCCCTCCCTGGAACTTGTGAAAAGTAGTAAAGCCCTCAGCAGCTGCACCGGCAAGATGGCCCAGCTTTCCAGATTTGACTTCCCTTTCAGAATTCTTGTCACTAAGTATAACTTTGTATATATGTTTTTAAACTGTATGTCATTTCTGTTTCTTAACATGCTTGATCAGAAAAACATTAGGGGTTTGAAAATGAACCTATCGTCAACATACATAGTCTATGTGGATATATGGACTCACCTCACAATAGTTCTTGTCCAATCAGACCTTGCAGAACTTTCCGTTTAGTGTTGTTGGTGGTGTTTATGTAGTTGTTATCCAGCTTTGATCTTTAAAGTGATTTAAGAGACCTTCTATTTCCTTTTCTATACCTTTTTTTTTTTTTTTTCTGCTTGTTTGAGTCAGTAGATTCTTGGCTGCACATCAGAAGCTTTTACATAAAAGTTCAGGTAGATCTGTGCAGTTACTGTCTGTCATTGTTCTTAGTGAATGATCTATGGGGTAGTATTTTCACTATGAATACTACATGGAACAAATAAACTATGTCTGACAAACAGAAGTGTTCCCAGGGTTACTTTTGACCTTATTGTAACTCCTGTCCTCGTTAGGAGTTGACATTCTGCCTGTCTTTAGCCCCTCAGTCTTCCAGCCATCGCTTATGTCTGAAGCAGAGTGGGTTACCTTACTGTGCAGGCCTCTTGACAGTCTAGTAGCACCTCCTCATAGTGTACTTTTATCTCTTCTTAAACATATTCTTTCCCTGGAGCCTCTTTCTTTTCTTTGCCCACCCTCCCTTTCTTTCTAAGACGGGGTCTTAACATAGCCCACGGTGGCATCAAAATCACTATGTAGCCAAGGATGACTTTGAACTCCTGACTCTCCTCTCTCTACCTCCCAGTTAATTGCTGAGGTTACAGATAGGTACCATTACACTCAGTGTCCCTAGAAGATACCTTTCTGTGAGATGGGGTCTCAGGAATCTGCATTTTAGGCCTAGTACAGAGATGACATGGTACAAAGAATAGCAAGCCCCAATATGTGCATTCTATTCATGGGTAGCATGAGTCCCAGATCATGCTGCACCTCAGCTACTTTATGATAAAAGCATTATTTGTGTTCATTAGTATTTCCACATGAAAACAGACACACAGCTTCCAAGTTGTGCTGAGTACATGATTCAGAGCTGTCCTTGCAGGCGCTAGGATTTCTCTTGTATTTCTAATTGTGCTTTTGTGTTATATCCTTTGTTCCTCCTTCTCGACTCTTTTTTTAGTTAATAGATATGGTTTAAATTCCTGGAGACTACTAACTCTTCATCATAGTAGCCAAGGGTACACCATGTGGCACCAGAAAGACCTTGTTTGGAGGTTGAATATTGACCTCACCAAACTATTTACCATGTAACCCCGAGGAAGCTTTTGTGACTTCTGTGCTCATCTGTAAAGAAATAGATTGCAGCTGCATTGTAACGCTTGATGAGGATCAGACGAAATGGCCTGTGGGGCTTTGCATAGATGCCGGTAGACACATATTTTATCTATATGATGAGGTCCTGCCGTCATTACCAGGGCTTCACCCAACAAGACCACAGTGCCCATGGGTGGGTAAAGGGCATGGAGGAGAACCAGGGTGGAGACAGTTTTAGGGAGCGGTGTGTACTTTGTTGCATGTGAGCAACCACTTACATAGTGGAAGCCCGTTGACTTGGTTAGAACCTAACCTCGGGTTAGACAGTGAATGATTACCAACCACCAGGGTCTCTATGCAGAAGAAGCACATTGAAGGAGGTGTGGGAGCCCAGACTTTCCTTCAGTCCAGCTACCCTACTCACATTACTTCAGAATTCGGTGTCTTGACTTCTGGGGCATGGTATGCTGTGCTTATTTAGAAGTGCAGTGTGCCAGGCAGGCTGGCCACCAGCTCATGCCTGCATTTTCTCCTACAAGTTCCTGCTCTGTTCAGTGTTGGCCTGGGTATTGGGAGTATAAGATGAAAAAGACACAGTCCTTATCTTCAGGATCTCATAGTCCAGTGGTATGGATCTATTTGGAGAAAAAGTTTTGATAAAAGAACTCTTAAACTTAGATTTTTTTTTTAATGTCAAGGGACATTTTTTAATGTCTACTTGAGAACTTTTTTCAAAAATATGACTGGGGAACTGGAATAATGAATGACTCAGCCATTAAGCGTGTGGACTGTTTTTGCTGAGGGCCCAAGTTCAGTTTCCAGCACCCACACTAGGCCGCTCACAACTGCTTGTAACTCTAGCTCTAAAGAATCCAGCACTCTCTTATTGCCTCTGTGGACACCATACTCCTATGCATACATCAACACACGAACACAAGTACACACATAATTTAAAAAATAATAGTAGTAACCCTTTTTAAGTGGATTGTTTTTATAAGGAAAGTTAATGGCAGTTAGAACATGAGTATTTGTCCGTGTGGCCAATGCCCTGAGAACAGAGAAGCAGGAAGACCCCTGTTTGCTTGGGAAGCACTGGCACCGTAGCCTTGTCTCCTGAAATTTCACTAAGGTACGTGGTTTACAGGAAGTCAGACAAAAGTAATACAGTCAGGTTAAAGGTACAGACAAGTTAAAGACTGTCAATGAAGTCCTTCTCTTCTTGTTCTCTCTCTGATGAAGCTGGTTTGGCTTCTCAAGGTTTTTGTCTTGTGTTTGTTTCTCTAGTGTGAGGGGGGGTTTACACACATGTATGGGCATGTGGAACCCAAGGTTGAAGTTGGGAATCATTTTTGATTGCTCTTACCTCTTCATTGAGGCAGAATTTCTCAGTCAAACCCAGAGCTCACAGATGTGACTCATCTTGCCAATCATATTGCTCTGGGGCTCCCATCTCTCCCTTCCAAGGCTGGAATTACAGGCCAGCTTGGCATTGCTTGGTGTTTATGGAGATCTGAAATCCAGTCTTCATGCTTATATAACAAGCACTTTAACCACTGAGTCAGCGCTCAGCACCCCAGCTCCCCAAGACCTTTTTTCTTAAGAAGGCTATATTGCACCAGGCAGTTCAGTAGTTAAGAGAATGTACTGCTTTTACAGAAGACCTGAATTCAATTCCCAGCACCCATGTTAGACAGCCCACAACCACCCTAACTCCAGCCACAGGGGTCTCGGGCGCCAGTACTCACATGCACAGAAAAGCATATGCATACATAAAAATCATTTTCTTTAAAGGAGGCTGTCTTAAATCTTGTGCCAGCTTGAGTAGGTGGAGACTGGAATGCCTTTGAAATATTGTCATTGAAGCCAGCTACTTTTTGATATGAAAATGGAATTCCTCGATTTGTTTTTGCTCATCCCACACACAAGTAGGACACAATGCCAGGGGAAGCTGAATTCTAGTCTGAGCTGGACTCTAGAGTTTCATGAACTGAAGAAGAAAGACTTCTTTAGCTCTCGAATTGGTTTCTAAGAGCTGGGACCTATTTTCATAAACCTCTGTAGCTCCAAAGGCCTAGCCACCATCTCCTTTCCGATAGAGCCCCTGGCTTGTTTTCACACTGCGTGTCAACTTAGACCTAACATTAGGTTTCTCATAAGCTGCTGTTTGCTTCTCAGCCAGATTGATGAATCTCAAGTTTATAAAACACTGTTGTTCTTCAGCCCATTTTAGGAGTCCCCCAGAAAAAAAACCAAGAATGTTCCCTAATCCCAAGTATCTAAACATCCTTGCTGTGTCATCAAACTTCCAAATCGCATGTAATTTTTCTCTAATCTGTTTTCCTAGCCTTCAAATAATTTCTATCTAAAGTGAATAGGCCTGTTGCTACAATTTAATTCTGTTGAAGTGTTTGGCTGTAACTTAAATGGAGATGGAGACACTGTTCAAGCTGTGGAATCTGCTCTGCTTGGCTCTAACAGCTGGCTGCTTTCAGTCCCTTGGAGCTTTTAATTTTTCATAGACTGGGAGGATGGGAACAGCAGTAGAAGAAAGCAGGCTGCTTTATTTAATAATCTGTGTTTGTTTGCTGATTCCAGTAATAGCTTTGGACAGCTATTTGAACAGCTGCTTTTTAAATGCCCATTTGTTTACTGTTTAAGTTTTTAAAGCTTGTTCTTAATGCTTACTTGTCTACTCTTTAACTAGTGTTCCTTCTTTATTAAATATATTTTAGCATGTTCCACTCCTGTGACTTACACATACTTTGATAATATGAGCTAATTTGCTAAAAAAGAATTAAAAAGTTTTTCAGGTCAAACCAAAAGTGGCTTATGCTTTCTTGTCTTTATTAGTATAATTATTTTTTTAATTTGGCAAATGTTACCTTTTGAAATTAAATTAGAACCTCAGCTGTATTTAAACCACAGTTTATATTAGCTTCCCAAGTCCTGTAACAAGTAGTTCAGTCTATATACTCCAGACAAGTTGTTTTTTTAATTAAATCAAATTGTGTGTGTGTTTTACTGCATTCTGTGAAAATTAGGAAGTACACAAACACATACAAAATAAAAAGACAAATTTGGATGAAGCCAGGAATGTTTTCGTAGACTTACTGTAGACTTCTTCGCATTGAGTGAGCACTTTATTCTGTGTCTGTGTATCTACAGGTGAGAGACCTGTGCATTGCCTATATGCTGGTGACATTGACTTATCTCTATATTGGTGTCCTGGTTTTTGCCTCATTCCCTTCACCTCCATTATCCAAAGATTGTATTGAGCAGGTAAGACTGTGCGCATGCACTGTGTATATGCACACACTGTGTCTGTGTGAGTTTGTATGTGTAGCAGGCAGAACCACACAGGAGCAAGGAGGATTCTACTTTCTTTTTCATCAAGTAACATAAAACATGCCATGCTTCAGTTGGCCTTTAGATGAACTCTGGAATAAAGTTCTGCCTACTCGGCAGCTTGTAATGCTCAAATAATCGTGCATACGTATTTCTCTTTGTATAGACCACATGGATCTCTAAAACCTCCACCAAGAATCCACTGAGGGCTTTCGTTTTCCAAAGCTTAGCTGTGGAAATGTTCTGGATGAACCGATTTTAAGTAATCGGATTTTAAGGACAGATAGGACTCTCATTTAGAGACTGAGTACCAAGGAGTAAAATAAAGACAGACCATTTAGATATTAAAAAGTAAGAGCCAGAGACAGTTAAGAGAGAAATCCTTCTCTAAGAAGTTGCAGTGAAACATAGAGATAGTAGCATTTCAGGTATTAAAGAATTTCTGATTAAAAAAAAAAACATTTCACAGGTGATTTTTTTTTTTTTAAGTCACAGGAAACCCTCTAGGAGTCCAGTGACAGTGTTTTAAGCCTTTCAGCAACATTGATAGTGTTCTCTGCGAGGAGAGAGAGGCTGCGGCTGTGTGGTGGCTGGAAACGGATCCTCTTTGTGGAAGTGTCTTGGCTGCCGAGTGTTTGCTGAAATTTTCCTCGATAGGAATACTCCCACATAATAATCCCTCCAAGGGGACTAGGAATATTTGTGGCATTCATGGTTGAAAAGTATAAATCTGAATTCACCTTCTTAGATACCAAACTGAAATGAAGAAAGCGAGCCTAACTGTAAGTGCACAGTGCTAGCCTGCAAGCGTCGGTAGCGCCAGGTGACAGGCGCACGCTCACCGTGCGTGCCTTCTTTGAAAGTGCCACAGTGTCAGAAGAGAGAAAGCGAGAACGCTAGAGCAAAGATACAATGCCACCGAATTTAACTTACCATTTCAGTAAATTAGAAACAGATTGGCTTCTTGTATTTGAACTTTTTAGAGCCATGTTTCTTGGTCTGTCTGTTGTGAAGAACAAAGTTTTTTTTTGTTTTTTTGTTTTTTTGTTTTTTATTTTTCTAATGTGGAGTCATCTTCAGACCAGAACATTTATAAAACAGAATATGCCAGTGTCAGGTTTTGTTTTGTTTAGTTTTTATCAATTTCTAAATATGTAATTTTGGTTTCTGTACTCACCTCTTGACAAGTAGTTAGCAAACAATTTGTAGATGGGCATCAATTCATAAACCACTACTGGGTATTGTCTATGTTCAAAATAAGCAGAAAATGTTGTGAACTGAGTTTTGACATGACTTCATTGTCTTTGTTGGATTAGAACTTCTTAGACAACTTCCCCAGCGGCGACACCCTGACCTTCATTGCAAGGATATTCCTGCTCTTCCAGATGATGACTGTGTACCCACTCTTAGGCTACCTGGCTCGTGTTCAGCTCTTGAGCCATATCTTCGGTGACGTTTATCCTAGGTAAGGGTTCTCCTCTTGACCAGCAAGATGTGCCAAGCAGCAAATGACTGTGCAAACAGGTCAGTTAAAAGTATGACTGATCCTTTTGCTATAAAAAATAATTTGCCTGATGAAAATGGTTCCTAAGGATAGATCACAGTGTCCTTTTCCCAGAAGAGCTTTAAATAGAGAAGCCACTCCCTTGCCTGGTACAATTTGATGTCCATTCCTTCCAGGAGAGTCAGTCAGCTCTGATGTCTATTATATTTATGTGAGGATTTTACTGCTGCTAAGAATACCCTGCTAAGAAGTTTGTAGCACTTCTAACCTGTGTTGGTGTGTGTACTAATGAGAGCCAATACTTTAAATTATTGGATATGAAAGCATGTGTGTTTAAAATACCTGTATATTTTTATAGAAATATTCAATTGTTTAGAGTTGAAGGTGAGACATAGAATGAGTTTAAATTGTTATTTAACATATAACAAGTTTAAACTGCTGTGGGACTTTTAGCCTCTTAATGGGCATGGAGGAACTGTGCATCTGGGAAAGATCAGGTAGTTAGTTAGCCTTACCCAAGAGAGATTTCCACATAGCACCATCATGTTTTCAGGCTTCCCTGAAGATTGCTCACAGTCCCCTAGTTAACTTTTATGGTAAATGTTATTAAAAGCAAAAAGTACCTAGCTATATTTTACTGGGGATAAATTAGCTTTGAGAGGGCAGGTGTTTGAGAGAAGGTATCACTATGTAGCCAGAGCTAGCCTGGCACTAATAATCCTGCCTCAGCTTTCCAAATGGTGGGGTTATATGTATGTTTAGAATAAATATTTTTAAGAAAACTTTCGAGTACAATTTAGGAAAACATTGCATTTATAATAACATACTAAACAAGACTCTTACTAACTCTTAACCAATATTAAACGAACAGTTCCTGTTTGTAGTCTGTCCCTCAAAACATAGTTCAAGTGAAGAGCTACTATTCCTGATATGTTGTTACAGTTCTTCTCATACATTAAAAAGCATAGCAAGCTACCATTCTAACACTGCTAATCTAGAACACTGCGGTTCAGGAAACACAAATTTTCTGTTTGTTACTCCATTAACTTCACTGTATTTGTTTCACCATAAAATAAAATAAATAAAATAAATCCAGTGAAGTCATAAATGCAATATTTCTGGGCAGATGTATCCCTCCTGTCTGAATGGTGGCTGCCAAAGGGCTTTTTCTTCATGGACAGCAGCCTGAGACTTCCCTTTTGTGCTCACATTGTGTTTCTTCCCTGTGACAAGAACATGCCCTGCAGTTGCATGCTCCACAGATGGTACATGCTTTTTTGGACTCAAGACTTCTTATTCTCTTAAATTCTACTACGGATTGCCAGGAGCTTTCATCTTCAGATGTGCCGGTCGATATTTAATGTAAAAAATTAAAGCTGAGATTTTTAAGGTATCTGTTCTTAAAAATTCAGTAACTCCAAGCATAAAGGCCTACTTAGGTAGTAAGGGCTGGAGAATCTCAAGTGTGAGGCCAACTTGGAGAACAAATGTAGCATTCCCAAGACCCTGAAATTCTTCCCAAAAAATTATAACAAAACAGTTACTTGTTAACATGAATAATATTTTTATGAAAAATAAGTAATTCCAAAAGCAAATTGTTTTGTAGTTAAAAAAACTCCTTAACGTCTGCTTTTCTGGTTTTCAGTTGAACTCTTTTTGTTTCTGCGTTGTCTGTTATACTGTTATTTCACTTAAAAATGAAGAAAATTCAGCCTCGTGTAGATGTGTAGTTGGAAAAGAAGAGGTACTTTCTATACCCTTGTCAGATAATTTTCAACGTTCATCTTCGGTGCCAGGAGGAAACTTGACACAGTGTAGTTCCTGGTTTGAGCTGTATACTTGGAAACTTGGTTGCCTTAAAACCCAGTGGGCTATTACAAATATAGCTGCTATGAACATGGTTGAGCAAATGTCCTTGTTGTATACTTGAGCATATTTTGGATATATGCCTAAGAGTGGTATAGTTGGATCTTGAGGAAGCACTATTCCTAGATTTCTGAGAAAGTGCCAGATTGATTTCCAAAGTGGTTGTTCAAGTTTATATTCCCACCAGCAATGGAGGAGGGTTCAACCCCCTCTCTCCACATCCTCTCCAACATCAAAAACTTGAGGTTTTTTTTATCTCAGCCATTCTGATGTGTATAAGGTGAACTATCAGGGTCATTTTGATTTGCATTTCCCTGATGACTAAGGACATTGAGCATTTCTTTAAGTGTTTCTCTGCCATTTAGTATTCCTCTATTGAGAATTCTGTTTAGCTCTGAACCATGTTCGTAGCAGCTTTATTCATAATAGCCAGAATCTGGAACCAAGCCAGATGTCCCTGAACAAAGGAATGAATGCAGAAATTGTGGTACGTTTACACAATGGAATACTACTCAGGAATTAAAAACAAGGAAATCGTGAAATTTTCAGGCAAATGATGAGATCTAGAAAAGATCATCCTGAGTGAGGTATTCCAGAAGCAGAAAGACACACATGGTATATACTCACTTATAAGTGGATATTAGAAATCTGTATACCTAAAGAAACTAAACAAGAAGGAGGACCCTGGATAAGATGATCAGTCCTCAATTAGAAAGACAAATGGGATGGGCATCAGAAGAGGGAGAAAACAGGGAACAGGACAGGAGCCTACCACAGAGGGCCTCTGAAAGACTGTACCAGCAGGGTATTAAAGCAGATCCCGAGACTCATAGCAAAACTTTGTGTAGAGTGCAGGAAATCTTATGAAAGAAGGGGGAGATGAAAGACCTGGAGGGGACAGGAGCTCCACAAGAGCTCCACAAGAGCAATGGAATCCAAAAATCTAGGTCCAGGGGTCTTTTCTGAGACTGATACTCCAACCGAGGACCATGCATGGAGATAACCTAGAACCCCTGCACAGATGTAGCCCATGGCAGCTACATGGCAGATTGAAGTGGGTGCCCTAGTACTGGGAACAGGGACTATCTCTGACATGAAATCAGTGGCTAGCTCTTTGATCACCGATCCCTGAGAGGGAGCAGCCTTACGAGGCCACAGAGGAAGACAGTGCAGCCAGTCCTGATGAGACTCGATAGAGTATGGTCAGAGGGAAGGGGAAGAGGGCCTCCCCTGTCAGTGGACTGGGGATGGGTCATGGGAGGAGAAGAGGGGAGGGAGGGTGGGATTGGAAGGAGACAAGGGAGAGGGATATAGCTGGGATACAAAGTGAATGAAGTGTAATTAATTAAAAAATAATTAAAAATTTAAAAACCAGTGGGCTCTCTTGCTCCTCTGTCCTGAGTGATTTGTAACAACAGATTTGGTGAATATTAATTCACAGAGTTCTGTAGGTCTCTCAAATGTTCAGACACTTCTTTATACATCTCTCAAGCTCACATCCATTAATATCACTACCAATTTCATCCCAAGAAGTCTTTACATTTTGGAAAACGATCAGACTCACAATAGCAAATGCAGGTTCTCTAAAAACCTAGCTTTTACTGAAAACTCAATTGTAATTGTCAGCAACAAATACTGCCTGTTGTTTTCCTTAATAAGCTCATCACCATTCGCTTGAAGGAAGTGGCAGTTTCTCACCAGGTGTGAATGCCTGCTGTCCAGCCTGCATCTCGAGAGAAGGTTGCATTTGTTGAGTCAGACAGTTTGGTCCAGCTCTGCTGCACAGCCGCTTTTCCTCAAGACATCCGTGTCCTTCAGTGTGCAGATGTGTTTGATCGCTTCCCGTGTGATCACACAGAATATTTTTAAAAACGTACACTCCAGGGTTGAGATTCAATAAACTGAGCTTTGTTCCTTGCGCCCCACGGGTGGCTGGAAGGCAAACCAGGGCCTTGATCATGTTGAGCAAATGTTACCTGCTGAGCTGCATCCCAGCCTTCTCATGGACACAGCTAATAAGGATTTCTTGTTTTACTTTCTCTTGAAAGTGTTGGCAGCAAAACTCCATCAGAGAATACAGATATAGCAGATATATGCCTTTGCCTTGTATGTTGCTTTTGTAAATCATACAGTGTCTTGCACTGTTATGAGAACAGTGTTTACCTCAAAGTCTTCTTGAGACGGGATTCATGGTGACACTTAGAGAACAGGCCACTACTTTGGAAAGAAACAGAAGTTGTTTTTTGTTTTGTTTTTGTTTTCCTTTAGTAAAACAACAAAGGTCCAGAAAGTTGAAGGGTGAAATTCTTGGTGAATAATAAAATCTTGACAGCTAATATCTCTGTATACTAACTACTAACATTATAACTACTAACATTAGCTGTATACCAGCTACTAACATTAGTAATTTTCCTTACTTTTTCATACATTGACACTATTCTCCTCCATACCCCCCTACCCTCCATTTTTCCCTTTAGATTTTCTTGTTTAATGATAATTCTGCTAGCTTTTTTCCAAATTGTTTAGGTAGTTTTTGTTATCTACATAAATAATAGTGTTATTTTTAATAATTTTTCCGTGTTCTGTCAGATAAACTGTTGATTTTTTTATTCTACTATTTTCTTATTTTTCTATAACTACTGTAATAGGTTTCTTCATGTTTTGTTTCTCAAAATATTCCAAACAAAATTGTAAATAGATTGTGCATTCTGCTGCATACTACTAGTTTGCACTTAGAACATTTGCCTTTTTATATAATTTTATATAACTGAATTACCAGAATTGAGTAGTAAGTTTCAGTTTTGCTGGCAGATTAAAGACATTTAAACATTTAAAGATATTAAGGATGAATTTTATTGTCCTAAACATTGATTATACTTTACCTGTTTCATATCTTTGCTTTCATTTAAACTGTCTTCTGCCTTGTAGCATTTTCCATGTGCTGATTCTTAATTTAATAATTGTGGGAGCTGGAGTGACCATGGCCTGTTTCTACCCAAACATAGGAGGGATCATAAGGTATGCTTGGACACCTCATGCTCTGTTGTCATTGTTGCTGTCGATTTTTTAATTGTTTCATGATTGTTATTAGTAGTAGTAATTCACTTGCTATTCAAGCTGTAGCTCCCTCCCTCATTGCTGTTGATTTTTTTATTGAATTTTCTGTAAGTGTTTAATACTGGTAGTGTTCAAGTATCCTTTCTGGTGTTTGTTAGCATGCTCATTAAATTTCATTGTCGCTGATCTCTGTTAGTGAAGGGACTGTGGGAGAGTGCTGTGTGGAGCCTGTGGGATGAAATGGACTTAAAATTTCCTGTTAAAGTATTCCTCGAGAAAATGGAGAATTGCCTGCTTCTGTCACAAACTCTTTTATAAATTTTTTTTCATCCTTGATTATTGCACTTAATGTCATGGCGAATCCATCTTTTCTTCTTCATACACAGATGCTACCAATCCCTCACAAACCTGGAATAACATTATAAAGGTCAAAAATGGAGATAAGGGATGTAGCTCATTTGGTAGAGTATTTGCCTTGCATGCACAAGGCCTCAGGCTCCATCCCCAGCGCCTCGTAAAGCAGTGTGGTGTTGCAGTTTAAGAAGTAGATGCAGGAAGATCAGAAGAGGAAGGGCATCCCCAGATGTATAAGGAGTTCAAGATCAGCAAGGTCTACCTGAGACCCTTTCCCAAAAAACACCAAAGATGAAAGCCTGTCTCCAGATAGATCTGAGATTTAAGGAATAAATAAAAACTCTTTACCATGCAGATATTATAAATACAAGCAGGAAATAATATTTTTATTAATTTAAAATGAAACAAGCTTTAAACTCAAATGTCAGTAACAAATGACAAATTTTGTTTCCAAATGAGACTGAGTACAATTTAAATCCCAACTGTATTTACCTTAATTATAAATCCTCAAAAATGCAGTAAGACTATTAATGCAGAAAGGTTTTTTTTTTTTTTTTTTTTTTTTTTTTTTTTTTTTCAGATATTCGGGAGCAGCATGTGGCCTGGCTTTTGTGTTCATATACCCTTCTCTCATCTATATCATTTCCCTCAACCAAGAAGAGCGTCTGACGTGGCCTAAATTAGTCTTTCATGTTTTCATCATCATTTTGGGCCTGGCGAACCTGATTGCTCAGTTTTTCATGTGAAAACTGTTTTCTCAAGATTTCTCATGGTATTCTGAACCTTGGCAACAGTTCTGCATAAAAGAACTTGAAAATGCTGTCATTGCTGTAATGCTAAGTGTTTTTCTAAGATAACTGGAAGCAAGGGAAATGATGGTCTGCTGATAAGTATTTTTGTACTGGAGTGGGGAGTAATAAGGACAGTCTTTCTCACAGACCCTCATTTATATGTATCCAAGTAAAAATGCAGGAGGAATCACTCTGATTTTCTGTTGATAAGTACAAGGTAGGTGGGCATGTTTTGCCTACAGCAAGGACTCTCAGGGGTCTTGGGCTGAGGCATGTTGCCAGGCCCTGTTTCTGATTGAGTGTACTCTCTTCCTCTCCTTACTTGCTGGACTGTTTCTACAGTTTGCCCAAACCTGTGCTGTTTCCAACAGTAAAACATATACCTCATTTTAGAAGAAGTTTCCATGGCATCATTATTAATGGAATGAATTCCTAACCAAATACTAATCTGAAGAGTAAAAAGTTAATTAAACAGTATCAGTCCATCAGAAAATATATGCAAAATAAGGCCAGTGGGGTAGTTGGTACCTGTCAGTGAGCACTTAGATGGTACAGTAAGAGGAACCCAAGTTTAAGATCATCCTTAGTTTCATGGTCAGCTTGATTGTCTATGGTGACGTTGTTTGGAGGGGGGGGGTGTTTTTTGTTTTGTTTTGTTTTTTTAAGACAGTGTTTCTCTAAAGGCTACAGTGTAGCCTTTGCTGTCCTGAAACTCACAGTAGCACAGGCTGGCTGTAGAAAGCCGCTCTCTTCTCAAGAAAAACAGAAAATATGCATCGGGTAAACTTGTGCAGAATGTGTTGCTGTCTGGCTCTTAACTGTGATCCAGTTTCAGTGGCTTAGACTGAGGTCACAATTCCCAAGCCAGATACCAACACACGAACAAAGGTGGTTGTCCTCATAAAGCTAGGGGATTCTTGCTTCCTGTGCCCTTGAGAATCGCATGGACTGTCCTGAAGCTCCATGGAGGAAGCACGAGCAGAGAGGCAGGTATATGAGGCTCTCCAGAAGGAAAAAGGAATAGCTAGAAAGGGTGGGACTTTGCCCAGCGTATTGAGTCATCCTAGTTCAGGTGTGACCTCCAGGAGCCGACACCACTACTGCTCCTGTAACAGGAAGGGAAGAAAGACTTCGGACAAGAAGATTGAGAAACCCAGATTCTTAGAGTTAACACTCTTTTTAACACATTTTCTTCTCGACTACGAGCTAAACCAGAATCCAGGTGTCTGTCTCCATGTAACAGTCTGTGTTCTGCCCACAACTACAAACATAGATTTCTCTAATTTTGGCTAAATTGTTTAAAATGTATCATGATTCCGCTTTTTAGGACACCATACAGATTTTCGTCTTGTCCTTCCAAAACAAACAAACGAACAAAACAGGTGAAATGGTTTTTATAAACCCCGTAAGCAGCCCTAGTTTTAAGACCAGGTTTAATTTCTTTCAGCTTAGCTTTAATCCTATTAGAGCACGGCTCTATGTTTATAAGGAGCTGTAACTCCTAACACTTTTTAAAGTCTCATGAAGACTGCCAAGCACATACACAAACTGAATAATATGAGAAACTGTTGCACACCCATCCCGGGGTGTGATAATCATAGGCTTAGCTGAAGTTGCTTTACCTGCTCCCTCCCCCTTTTTTCTTTTCTACTGACATATTTAAAAACCAACCTCAGACATTATGTCATTTCATTTCTACAAACCTTAATATTCAGCTAATAGCCCAAACCTAGTTACATTTATCATGGAGCTGGCATTAAAAGCTCTAGCTAGCAGAAACTTCTGTGGAAGCTGGGTCGCATGGGGAAGTGCCTTGCTGCTCGAGAAACTCTGGAATGGTCATGATTGCAGTGTTCTATCACGAGACATTGGAGGCAGAGCTGGTGTTTTAAGACATCTCCCCGACTTAATCTCTGTATGTTCTTAGAAGTTTCTTAGAAGTCTCTGAGAATTTTAGAGACAGTTTTTACTGCTTTTATTCCAAAGACATTCTTGAATGCTTTACCACAACAAAGATGTGTTATGCTTTAACAGTCAAAGATGATTGGTTATGTCATTCCGTAGATAAAAGGAACGTGGCAAGGGATGCTACCCTCTGGACAGAAAATAATATGAATTTATACTTCTGTTGTCTTAAGGAGACTCAACAGTTTAGACCTCCTAATGTCCTGTTAAACAAGCCAAATGGCTTTATCTCCTTAAGTTTCTTTCCATGAGATTCCTTTGCCTGTTCCTTGGCTTAGAGAACCCTGCATATGACTGCGTGTCCTGGCTCAGAATGAGGACAGGATAGGGACCCACACGCAGTAAATCTCACACTTTCTTCTTTGAATTTTCTGATTAAACTGCTTTCACTTCTTTGCTCTGATGTGGCTAGCTTCTTTAACACACAGCTGAGGACACTAAGACTTAAAATGAGTTGTCTAGAGAGGTCTTCCTTAGAAATCCTGTGGATGAATTTGGGCTGTGCTCATATTAAGCCAGAAAGGGAAAAAAATAGAGTTACGTTTTATACCTGTGGGCAGTTGTGCAAAGTCATTGCCATCAGCACACTCCAAAACTGTGTTTGGAATAAGGACTAAAAGTACCCATTGGAAGAGACTTGTTTTAAAGGGAAGTGCTTCCTGTACATTAAATGTGTCTTAGAAATGCTGTGTGGTGACTGAGCAGCAGTGGGCTTGTTTTCTGCTTCCACTTGAAACTTAGCAAGAAAATGTTTGATGTGTGTTTTTAATTATCGTTCCCTTAATTATTCTGTTTACAGTATGGCATAGTCAGCAGTGCTCATTGCTCTGAAGGAGCTAAAGCCGCCAAAGACAGCATACACGTCCTAAAGGAACTTTTAATGTACGGAAGAAAGAGTGTGCTCAGCAGTGCACAGGGCAGCTAATGCTGAGGACGGTTGGAGCAGCTCGGTGTTGGGGAGGAGGGAGTGGCAAAGGAGGACAGACGGTTCCGGGACAAATCACATTCAGTGTGCTCACCAGCAGACAGAGTGATCTGTTACATGTACTTGTTTCTATTGGGGCGGATTTCCCCTGAAACATATTTTGTGATGTTTAATTGCTCTTTATGCTGTTATTCTCTCTTATTAACCCTGAAGTATTTATCCCCTATGGCTCTTGAACAGAAAGCATCATTGAATTAATGTAGGATGTAATTAGTAATGCACTAGGTGCTACAAACATTTATAAAGTTTCCAAAATTTTAATTTCTTCAAATATGAATATTCAAAATGTCAACTGTTTACATTCATTGATGTAATAGTGTTTTGTTTTGTTTCTGTTAGTGTGATAAGATACAATGACCAAAAGCAAGAGTTGATTTTGGCTTACGGTTCCTAAGAGGGAGTCCGTCATGGCCTGGAAAGCAGCAGAGCAGGCACCAAAGCAGGGCTGGCAACTCACATTTCATCTACACATAGAGCGCAAGTGTGGTGAGTCTATAAACTCACAGCCCACCCCCAGTGACATACTTCCTCCCGGAACAATGGGGATGTGTGATTTGTCTTTTTATAGAGATGAAATTAAGTCAGAATCATTTTAAAGAAAAATGTCTCTGGAGTTTTGTTTAGTGAATTTGGCTGGGAACCACTGTTGCCTCCTAGCCCTGGCCACAGGCGGAAGCAGCTGGGCTCCATCCTCTGCAGGGCCACGTTTCCCAGGTGACTGCCTGGTCAGGCCATAGGAGCCAGCCTTAAAACCCTGGCCTAGCAAGGCATATGTCACATTAACAGAAACCTAAAAGGACCATCCCAGGGACCCAATGTGCTCTCTCCCTCTAGGAACATTTTTCATGGATGTGACACTGTAGGTAAGCGTTACCCAGCTTCTGGCCAAAAGCCCTGGAGCAGTCATAACGTTCCAGAACCTTTTACGCCAATAAAGAACACTAATCTTCTGGCTTCTTTTTTTCCAAAATACCTTTTTTTTTTTTTTTTTTATTCTCTAAACTCTTCTGAAAAGGTAAAATAAGACTGTTTTAAAGGTCAACAATGGCACCCTGTTTCTCACAGGCTGTGCCTCACAGCTCCAGAGCAGGAGTGAGGAACACCCTTCTGACATTCCCCCTGACTCTCAATCCCACACAGTCCAGTCATGGTTAGTCATGGCAGGTCTAAGGGCACACTTCTTTAACTAGTCAAAATTCCACTTAAATAGAAAGTAATATTAGATGCTGTTACCTAGGATTTTCTTACATACTCTTACACCCCAAAAAATGTGGGGGCTAGAGGTGTAACTCAGTAGTATGGCACTTGCCTAGCAAGCATGAGGTTCCAGGTTTGAACCCCAGCAACACAAAAAGAAAAAAAAAAAAAAATGGGTCAGTCAGGTTCTGGATTAATCATTCAGTCCTTACCTACTCACCGGATGCCTGACCTTGCAAAAGTAAGCACTGAACATGCTGTGGTGAACAGGCCAGGTGTGAGCGTGGCAGTGGAGTGTCCTTTGTCCATGCTGTGACCCAGCCACCAAGTCACCTTCCTTAGGTGCCACCCAAGGGCTGAGCTTCTGCTTTCTTGGTGCTCTGTCTCCGCTGAGGACTTTGGCACGTGAGTGTAGAGTGTGGGACTTCCTGAAGGGAGTCATGGTTTTCCGTGTAAAACTCTTCCGCATCCCAGCACTTGAATTATCTGTACAAACCAGAAGGTCCCTCCCACAGAAGGACAAATATGAGTGACCTGTTGAAGGGCTAGAGCGCCACGTGAATCACTTAGGTGTTGTTTTACTATTTACTCAGCAATCATAACAGTTTTTTCCTAAGCGACGTCTAGGATAAATCATGACAAAGAAGACTTGTAGACCTGCCTACTATGAATCTTTAGTATAGATTAGATACCTTGTAATATGTTGCTACTGCTACTATTATTAGTTAGACTCTTGTAGGCTCTCCTGACTTTGAACTTACCATGTAGCCAAAGATGATCTTGAACTTCACATTCTCCTCCTCCACCATGCCCAGCTGAGGAAGACCTTTGGTTGCAAGGACAGGTCCAGATTTTATGCCAGCTGTCACCTTCGAGGTTTAGAGTTACCTCTTCAAGGAAGAGTGAAGAATCTGGAACCTCAGATAGGAAGTAGCCCATACAAATGAGGAACCCTGATTCAGCTGTGGTAGCTCTAAGATTAAGTATACACAGGCCATTGGAACAGCCAGGAAATGTAAGAAACCAGAGGAAGAAAAATGGGCACTATGCCTGAGTTTCTTTGTGTCCTGGAGAGCTACTCTTACCAAAGCTGAGCCTTTATTTCTGGAAGGGCCAGATTAGGTGTCAATCTAGGAATGGTTAATTTGGGATCCAAATAGGACATTTTTCTTTTTCAAAGTTTGTGCCTGGGGATGAGTCTTACAAGCTATTACTTTTTTTTTTTTTTTTTTTTTTTATAACTACTTGTTTTATTGTTTTGAGACAGAGCCAACTCTGTAGCCCTATCTGGCCTGAAACTCTGTAGAGCAGTCTGGCCCCAGACTTGTGCAGTCTCCTGCCTCTCTACAGAGTGCTGGGATTGCAGGTGTGTGTCACAACACCTAGCATTTTTTTTTAAATATTTATGGAGATAATACCCTTTTCAAAAACATACTAACTTGCAAACAGTGATTCAGTTTTATCTGAGAGATGAGAAACTTTCAGGGGCTCTTGATATAGGAAAGCAACTAAGGCAACATTTACATAAAGTAGGATTTCTTTCTTTATTCTGTCTACATCAGTAAAGAATGTCTCCATTAAAGATGAACTTTAAAGGACTCACTGCTTTAGAAAATAAATTGGAAATTGATGTCATTCTTTGAAGAAAGGAAACTAAAACTTGATTCAAATAAACAATCTTAATTATTCATCAGTGCCATGCATGCTGAGAGCCCAGGCCAGGGCAGAAGACTGATGGTCCTCTTTGGAAACTTAAGACAGTATTGTCCTTCCCAGGACTGCCAGACTCTGCTTAGTCTAAGGATGGCTGTGCCTCTCCCCATGAAATCCTTCCAGCCACAGTGGAAAAGTGGGCATGGGCTCTGAAACAGAGAACTACAAATTAGCAGAAAACAGCTCAAGAACAAACAAGTGGCCACAGCACAACCCAGATAGACTTGGAAACATACTCAGTGAATGCAGCCAGGTGTACAAAACACATACCATCATGTGCTTCTCTTCATATGACCTGTCAAGAAAGGCAAGCGTGTAAAACCAGGCAATGTAAAGCAGTCATTTCTAGAGTGGGCATGGTTTAAAGGTTACCCCTAAATAGCCATGGGCAACTTCTCAGAAATGCAGGAATGTCATAGACATGGGTTGTGATGTTGGTTATGCACTATCATACTTTTAACTGAAGCCTGCTGAAATAGCTGAGAGGTGGACACACATCTCTTTACACTTTATGGGAAAAATGAGAACACTATGAGAATACTATGTAGCTATTTGAAATAACTTCACAGGTGTGTAGCAAATGCCAGAAAAGATACGTAAGGTCAAAACTACATGTGTGAAATTTAAAACCTTTGTTTAGAAATATGCATGGGAAAAGGGCTTGGAGCTTAACAAATATGAACACTGGATACTTCTGGGTGTACCTTTTTACTGTCGTCTTTGTTTACTCATTGTTTAAAATGTTGAAATGTGTTGTTTTGTGAGGTAAATGTAATAAATGCTTTTTCTTTTTTAAAAAATCATTAGCTGTTATCACTTAAAACAATAGATACTTTTTTAATGTATTTATTATGTATTATAATTTATTCATGCTGTAGCCCCCTCCGTCATCTTCCAGTCCCTCCCTCCCTCCCACTCCTTCCCTTATGCCCCTCCCCTAGTCCCCTTCTATCTGACCCTAGCCTATCAGGTCTCATCAGGGCTGGTTGCATTGTCTTCCTCTGTGGCCTGGCAAGGCTGCACCCCCACACAAGGAGGTGATCAAAGAGCCAGCCACTGAGTTCATGTCAGAGACAATCCCTGTTCCCCTTACTAGGGAACCCACATGGAGACTGAGCTACCCATGTGCTAAGCATCTGAGCAGGGGTTCTAGGTCCTCTTCATGCATGGTCCTTGGTTGGAGTATCCGTCTCTGCAGGTCCCCCTGTGCCCAGATTTGTTGGCTCTGTTGGTTTCCTTGTGGAGCTCCTGTTCCCTCCAGGTTTTTCTGTTTCCCCTTTCTTCCATAAGATTCCCTGCACTCTGCCCAAAGTTTGGCTATGAGTCTCATCCTCTGCTTTGATACCCTGATCAGTAGTCTTTCAGAGGCCCTCTAAAGATCATCCTGAGTAAGGTAACCCAGAAGCAGAAAGACACACATGGTATATAGTCATATAAGTGGATATTAGACGTATACTATAGGATAAACATAGTAAAATCTATAGTCCTAAAGAAACTAAACAACAAGGAGGACCTTAGGGAAGATGCTTACTTCTCATTCAGAAGGGCAAACGGGATAGACATTGGAAGCAGGAGAAGACAGGGAACAAGACAGAAGCCTATCACAATAGATACCTTTTTTGATATTAATAGCAAAAATTCTGCCAGGCATGTTAATGCATGCCTTTGATCCTAGGATCTCTGAGTTTGAAGCCAGCCTGGTCTACATATCAAGTTCCAGGCCAGCCAAGGCTTCATAGTGAAACCTTGTCCCCCAAACAAATTCTGGGCCAGTGAGATGGCTCAGTAGACAAAGGGGCTTGCCACTAAGCCTGATAAACTAAGTTCAGTCCCTGGGACCCACAGAGTGGAAGGAAAGAACTGGCTCTTGAACATTGTCCTCTGACCTCCGACCTC